TTTTGTTAGACTTCATTTATCATCTCTATTTACCTTTTAATTTTCACTTATTGTCAAGATGCAACGGCAATCGAGAAATTTAACTCGCGATGAGTGTGCCCAAGTGGTTGTTTTAGTGCAAGAAGGTTGGAGTTTCCGCAGAATAGCTGAAAGGTTTGGTGTATCCCATACATCCATTTCTCATATGTATCAATGGTACATGGAGACTGGTGGCCATACTAGGAGACCAGGTCAGGGTAGAAATCGTGCTACGACTCCTGCTCAAGATCGTTTTTTAAGACTTTTAACTTTGAGACAACGGTTTGTGACTACAAGAATGCTGCAGTCTCAGTTGGAAAACGTAGAAGGGGTTCGAATAAGTATTGAAACCATTCGACAACGACTTAGGGAAGATAATTTGCAACCCCGAATTCCTGCACGAGGCCCGCTCTTAACCGTGGATCTTCGCAGAGCCCGGCTAAATTTTGCTAGAGAGCACGTCAACTGGGTAAAAGCGGATTTGGAACGAGTTCTGTTTACAGATGAGTCTAGATTTTGTCTATACACATGTGATAGACGCGTTCGTGTGTTTCGACGGCCAAATGAAGGATATGTCCAATGTAACTTCCTTAATACGACCTTACCCAGATAGCAATCGTGCGTCGCACGTAGGTCGCACGGCCTGAGAACGCACACGTGTGGTCGATTTCACACGCATATGAGTAGCATAGCCGTGCGCGCTCACGCGATGAGCGCAGTATGAGCGCACGACGTGATCAGAGCGCAGTATGAGCGCACGACGTGATCAATGATCTCTTACACTGTGCTTATCGGTAGTGATGCCAGATTCTATCAAAAAAACAGTAGATTTCGTTTTTATTCACCTTATAATTACAAAAATGATACAATCAATAATAATGAAATAACGTAATATTTCAATTTGCATTGTTTCACTAGGTAATTTCAATTAAAATGACATGCATCAACTGATTTGTATATATATATATATATATATATAAATTATAATTTATTATATTGCATTTAAATTCAAATTTTAAAATTCGCGCGTAACCGGTCAACGCGGTAATTCGACAAAAACATAACCTTATTACATTGCTGCAATCGAGTTGTGTTTGTATTGTATTTATTTTTCTATTGTGTTTTTTGTGTCCACGTGTTATTATAGTTAGGTATAAATTGATAAAAGTTATTAAAGGATTTCAGCTAAGTGTGAAAAATATAAAGATTAAATCATAACAAACATTTTCCCATCATAATTGATTATTTTTCTTGGGATTTCACAATAATTTAAATTATGAAGCTGTGCATTTTTATTTACTCCAAGATTTTTATTTGCCTTAGGATTTTGTGATTTTACTTTTGTGATTATTTATAAATAAAAAGGAAAAAAGTAAATAAAAATGCAAATTTTAATCAAAATCACTTTAAAAAATTAAATAAATATCACAAATGTAAAATAAAAAAATCTTAATGTAAATAAAAAAGCAGATGATTAATTAATCAAGTGATTAAAAATACTAAACTAAACTAAGAACCAAAAACCGACAACACGTAGCAGATCCCGGAAAACCACCAATACATATATTACATATAGGTATTGGTGGTTTTATGATATAACGCCCGCGGAAACCTAAAACAGAATATATATATATATATCGATGGGTTTAAGGCAAAACGACACAAGCGCCAAAATTTTTAAAAATTTGTTACAGGTCGATAGAGCTCTAGTTAGAAAATTTAATTCTCTATCAACCTGTACTTCTAACAATTTTTCAAAAAATTTGGCGCTTGTGCCATTTTGCATCAAACCCGTCGTCATATATGCATTTCCTTTTGAAATATACAACTTTTTTTTACTCATTCATGTGCGCTGGGAATGCGTCGGCACACGTGCGCTTTAAATGCGCCGGCACACGTGCGCTGCATATGAGACGCATATGTAAGCGCATCTGTGTAGTAATCTGCGCGCACGCATGCCGTTTAAAAAAGCACGCGTGCACTCACTGTGCGCGCATCGTGACTACATTTTGCTATCTGGGTATTTGGTGGGGGCTCAATTATGGTGTGGGGAGGTATTTCTTTAACAGCACGTACCGACTTAGTGGTGATAAATAATGGCAACCTTAATGCTGAGCGTTACATTTTGAACATTCTGGAAAAACATGTTGTGCCATATGCCCCTTTTATAGGTCCAATTTTTTTACTAATGCAGGATAATGCACGACCACACACTGCCCAGGTAGTCCGAAATTATCTTGCTGCCGTTGGGATTAATGCTATGGCCTGGCCAGCTCGGAGTCCAGACCTTAACCCTATATAACACATCTGGGACATTCTTGGGAGACGTTAAAGGGACCATCCAAACCTTTCGAATAACTTAGAGGATGTAGAGCGCCTTCTACTCGAAATTTGGGAGAATTTTGACCAAAATGAAATTCGAACCCTAATTTTGAGTATAAACAGAAGATGTGAGGCTGTCATTCGTAGTAGAGGTGGAAATACCCAATATTAAGTACAAATTTTTAATTTTTATAAAAATCGTATTCTGTTAATTTTTAATTTTTTGAAAAAAACATTATTTTTAGGGATTTTTTTCTGACATTATAAATAAAAACCTATTTTTAAATAAATATACAGATAGTGTGTACCTTTATCTTTACCATTTTCAAAACATATTAAAAATAATAAATTATTTTTGGTGTGGTGCGTTAATTTCTTGGAGAAGTGTATATAATTTGTTTTTATAATCTACTTGTTTTGACAACGAATAAAAATGTTGTGTGCAATTTAAGTATTAGAATTAAGGGTATGTTTTAAAGGAATAAATATAATTTGTTTTTATAATTTAAAGAGACCAATTTACATTTTTCCTCATTTAACCATATAATTTTCGGTTCATAATATAATTTTGCAAAATACAATAAACACGTATGAAAATGGTTTAAATGAACAACAAAGTGGTTCATAAAACAAACCTTCTGAATTTATTTTTTCATATATACACTTACAGGCAAAATAATCGATCCACACAAATTTTCGAGGAATTTCAATCGCAAATGACTTGTTTATTTGATGTCGGATTTAAACGAATATTAAAGAATATTGTAGATAAATTAATGGACAACAGCTCACATTTTAAAAAATTACTAAAAAATAGACGTACGTTTATAATATACAGGTTTAAACAAAAAGATGTTTTTTACCATAAGTTTAAGACACTCTGTAGAGTGGCAAAACCGTATATTGTTCTAAATTAAGTTTTATTTATCAAGTCACATCTATTTTTAATAGTTTTGTTTTTGGTTCACCTCGATATATTTATTTTTGTGGAAAATATGGATTTTTTAAAAAAACATTGCAATTTCCAATATTTTTCGGTATGAAGAACTAAGGTTGCTATGGTCCATCCATAGGCTATGGAGAATGACAGTGACAGTTTTGTGGAATCATCCCATACTTGGACATGTCATACACGGCTTTCAAACGCTATCAAATTGTTTTTTGCAAATTACCTAATGTTTAAATTTTGAGGTGTCTTCCTACTTTAAAAAATGGATATGTCTCCGACTGATGTTGCCAGAGCCATTAATTTAATCCAGGATGGACGGTCACAGTATTACGTGACAAGTGTTTTAAACGTCACAAGAAGTAAAGTACAAAAGGCCAACATCAGTCGGAGACATTTTTAAAAGTATGAAGACACCTCAAAAATAACACATTAATTTACAAAAAACAATTTGATAGCTTTTGAAAGATGTATACATCTTTCTGAAAGATGTATACATCTCTATATATATGACATGTCCAAGTATGGGATGATGCAACAAAAATGTATATTGGAAATTGTAATGTTTTAAAAAAAAAATCCATATTTTCCACAAATTAAATATATCAAGGTGAACCAAAAACAAAACTGTTAAAAATAGATGCGACTTAATAATTAAAACTTAATTTAGAACAATATACGGTTTTGCCACTCTACAGAGTGATTTAAACTTATGGTAAAAAACATCTTTTTGTTTAAAACTGCATATTATAAACGTACGTGTATTTTTTAGTAATTTTTAAAATGTGAGCGATTCTTCATTAATGTATCTACAATATTGCTTAATATTTGTTTAAATCCGAAATCAAATAAAAAAGTTATTTGCGATTGAAATTCATGGAAAATTTGTGTGGATCGATTATTTTGCCTGTGAGTGTATTTACTAACAAAAATACTGTCTATTTTTATCCATATATTTTAAATCAGTGGTTAAAAACTGATATAAATATTATATCAACCGATTTACATTTTAGATGATTTTATTGGCCAAAAATAAATCTAGTAAACTATGGTTAAAAGCAAATGTCACAAATGTCAAATAAATCTTGATGAAATTTTAATTGTTTTTTGTCTAATTTAAAAAGTCAATGTATAGAAATCGACTTTTTTATGCAAAATATAAACGTTTACAACAGTTTTTAAAGAAAATTACTACGTTGCCATGTCGTGCAAAAACCTATATCCGCTGATATGCTAAATCAGTTGATATAAATAAATCAACGTTTCTGCATACGGCCCTTAATGTTAATGTGTGCTGCATAAATCCACTATTATAGGTAACATGACATAAAAGTAGGTATCTTCAATGAAATATTAAATTTCATGCATGCTTAATAGGCAACCAGGTATACATGGATAAGGTAGTAGAAAGAGATCTTGTAGATATTTTGTAATAATTTATTTAAATTTATAAGCAATACCTAATAATAAGTTAGCTATCAAAAATTATAAATCCACATAACTATTGCACAAGAACAACTATAAAATACTACAGTCGTATACTACATAAGGCTAGTTTAATGGGGGAGGAATGTCCAACCACTTACATTCATTTATTTTACTTAAATTCTAAGTCTATTGCTTTTAACTTTTGACCGTACACATTTGGATGGATCTTGCACTTATATAGGTACGTGTTTAAGCACAAGATAATTGCCATTGGGACGGTTATGCTTCACATTACTTGAAGTATTTGGCTGGCTTCGAATGCCGTGCCCGGTATGAGTATCACAGGGCTGGAGACGTGGCCTGATTCCACGCAAACCATGTTCGGGTACTCGTCGTCGCCGAAATCCGCCATTCCTTTGGCCTGATCCGCCCAAGGGTTCCAGAGCACCGTATCCGGGAAATTATACTTTTGTATTCTCATTTTCCGGCCCGACACCACATTGGTGATGATGTGCTCTTGGGGAGTGTTCTGATACACCCTGTCAGTCCATTCTCCAATTGTAACAATGTCTCTAGCTTCTTGGTACACAGCACCATCTCTAGTTTTATCTACAAAAGTACAGCCTTGTAATCCAGTTATTTGGCACCGCCGTACGTCAGGAACTTTAAAATAGGTATGCAGCAACATGTTAAAGCTGAAAGTCAGTTCTTTGTTTGGGTTAAAAACCGCTATGTTGAAGTGCAGCTCCTTCTCTCTTAATATCAGTCTATATGTTAGTCGGAATCTAAAATTTAGCATTTACATACTTTTTTCAAAAACATTTCACGGAGTAACACAAAAAAAGTGCATTAGGTAGTCTTTTGATGACATTTGTTGTCTGGTTCCACTTGTACAAATTAAAAAGATTATTGCAGCAGACGCGTAAAATTGGGGGGGTGGTAAATTATAAAAGTAAAATGAAACTATAAAGATCATTAACTTAGAATTTCTAAAAATATCTTAAAGCACAACTGTTTCTTACATTTTGGGAAGGGTTCAACCCTCTAAAAAAACCTGGTTTAATTAAAATTTTGCAGGGGGCACTTCCACACTGCTTAACTGCCAGTGATGGTTAAGGAATTCCCAAAATGGCTTAAAAACCATAAATCTCTAACTATAATCTTAATTAAGAAAATGTTGTGGCTCTCTAGAACAAATTGCTTTGGTTAAATAAGAATCCATAAGAGAACTTCTATGAGCACAACATTGTTGCCAAGTTCACCAATGGCAGTATTATGACATGCCTAATTATAATTTATTAGTTATAAATAACTATGATTACGCCTAAATTATTCGGAAAAAACAATTTAAAAGAAATTTGGAAACATTACGGTCTTTTAGTTCTTGAGCTTGTATGGCACGCTGTTTTAGAATTTAAGTGTCTACGTATACTGTTTGTTGCGACGGTTATAATATATTAATCAAATAATTAAAATTAACTTATTATTTTTATGAACCAACATTTTATGAAAGGGTCCAATCGACCTCCGCGACGGTGCTTTTTTTAATATTATTTAGTTGCTTCTGAGGAGCTGTAGACACATCTTAAAATGTATAATGGGTTGCATACAATACTCGTATTAAATCGGCAGTAAAGTTCTACTTTACTGCCGATTTCGGTATTTTTTAATCGTCAATTAAAAATATCACATTTGAATTTCCGATATCACAAATTCAATTTCTGATATCAAAAATTAATTTGCGATATGAATGATTGCAAGGGGCGTGGTCAGTCGTTTACCTATATAATAGTTATAGATGTATGTAAAAATAACACCTAGGTAGATTTTAAAAAGGATATAACATGTGGCAGAGAAAAATTATTTTGTTCAAATTTTAATTTAATTATGTCAAAGTATTTTGTTGTTTAATTTTAAATTACAAAACTATTTTTGATTAGTTTTAAAGCAACATATATTGTTTTAAACAATTACATAATCTTTATAGGTACCTAAATGTGTAGGCAATTTTACTAAAATTAATAAGAACCAAACAACTATTTTATACCTTTTTTGTATTCTCAGTGTTTATTATTTATTATCTTACTGATAGTTCCACATTGAACGTGTGAAATCTGTGTCCATGATAGAAAAAATGGCTTCTACGTCTCCACTAGCCAGTCTTTCAGGTGCCTTCTCCAGATTCCACCTTACAATCCTTGCAAAACCGTGTTGCGGACCAAAAGTCCAAGGTCCAAATTGTGCTGTTAAATTTACACAATCAGACTAAAAATGCTTATCTCATAGGAGTGTTTACTTACGAAATACAAATGGAATGCCACCTCTGATTGCTTTTTTGCCATCAAACACAGCCTGCTTACTAAAATGGTTAAACATTACCAATTGCCTATTTACTTGATTGCACAGGTCTGCAAAAATTTTATTGTTCCATTTAAAAATTTTGTAGACCTGTGTTGTTATTAAATTTACCTGACAAATAATTGTTCCTGGTTATTAACCCGCCAGGATACAACCGTCGCCCCTGTAACACAAAAAAAACATACTTAGAGGTTATGTTGATTTTTTCACACATGACGGCGGCGTTGTGGCCAAGAATAATGGAGAAGGATGAATAAAAGGGGCATTTTTAATGACTGCTCACCATGTAAATTGATCGTGCAAGTGGTGTTGTTCCCCCTGTCGAGCACCACAACGCTCGTAGCAGCCATGGCAAGATTTTTTGCCGGTGACGGTTTGCTACCGCGTTGATTTCAGTTCTTCCCGCACTTGCTAAAACACTTTCACGCTTTTTTAGTTTACCTGCGCGGACGCACAGGTGTAGATCCCTCTGTCGGGTGTGTAAAAAAATATCAAGTCAAACTTTCCACTCTTGCGTTATTAAAGTCTGTAACGTCGATAAATTCGCACTAAGGGGTTGTGATGCAAGAGCGCAGTGTAAACTCCCTTCGTCTTAATATGCACAAGAACGGGACGCGACCACTTTTTCATCATTTTACAAAAAACAGATACACTTTAGATAATGGATGTAGGGAGCGCACCGTCGCCATCTATCCGCCACTAGCTCATCTGCCATCCAAACCTACAGTTTTCTTTAATCACATGAGTTTGATGCCGACTTTTTTATTTTTTTTAATCAAATTTTTCGCAAGTTAACTTTGTTTTTATAATAGAGATGATTTTGAATATTTTTTTGGAAAAAATAACAATTTAAAAAAACATTATCTTGTCGAGTAATAATATTTATATACATTTTTATTAGTATTTTAATGCCCTCAAAGAATAGTAGGCCTATTAAATAGGCTGCAGGAATAAATAATGTCATATGAATACAAAAAGTGATAGTGATAGTATTAAAATATTAACATTTGCTACAGTCGTTTCTACACTCACAGGCAAAATAATCGATCCACCCAAATTTTCGATGAATTTCAATCGCAAATAACTTTTTTATTTAATGTCGGATTTAAACGAATATTAAAGAATATTGTAGATAAATTAATGGACAATCGCTCACATTTTAAAAAATTACTAAAAAATAGACGTTTATAATATACAGGTTTAAAAAAAAAGTTTATTACCATAAGTTTAAGACACTCGAGTGTGATCTGTAGAGTGGCAAAATTAAATTAAGTTTTATTTATCAAGTCACATCTATTCTTAACAGTTTTGGTTTTGGTTCACCTCGGTATATTTATTTTTGTGGAAAATATGGATTTTTTAAAAAAACATTGCAATTTCCAATATTTTTCTGTATGAAGAACTGAGGTTGCTATGGTCCATCCATATGCTATGGAAAATGACAGTGACAGTTTTGTTGAATCATCCCATACTTGGACATGTCATACCTACACGGCTTTCAAAAGCTATCAAATTGTTTTTTACAAATTAATGTTTAAATTTTGAGGTGTCTTCTTACTTTAAAAAATGGATATGTCCTTGACTGATGTTGCCAGAGTCATTAATTTAATCCAGGATGGACGGTCACAGTATTACGTGGTAACTACTTCTTGTGGCGTTTAAAACACTTAAGTGTTTTAAACGTCACAAGAAGTAAAGTACAAAGGGCAACATCAGTCGGAGACATTTTTAAAAGTAAGAAGACAGCTCAAAATTAACACATTAATTTACAAAAAACAATTTGATAGCTTTTGAAAGCTGTATATGACATGTCCAAGTATGGGATGATTTAACAAAACTGTCACTGTCATCCCTCTATGGACCATAGCAACCTTAGTTCTTCATACAGGAAAAATATTGGAAATTGCAATGTTTTTTAAAAAAAATCCATATTTTCAACAAAAATAAATATATCAAGGTGAACCAAAAACAAAACTGTTAAAAATAGATGTGACTTGATAAATAAACCTTAATTTAGAACAATATACGGTTTTGCCACTCCACAGAGTGTCTTAAACTTATGGTAAAAAACATATTTTTGTTTAAACCTGTATATTATAAACGTACGTGTATTTTTTAGTAATTTTTAAAATGTGAGAGATTCTCCATTAATGTATCTACAATATTCTTTAATATTTGTTTAAATCCGAAATCAAATAAAAAAGTTATTTGCGATTGAAATTCATCGAAAATTTGTGTGGATCGATTTTTTTGCCTGTGAGTGTATTTTGGTTGTTTCGCCCTAGGTCCAGTTTCACATATTTAGAATAATATCTGTTCTGTGAAGAATATGTGCATCTTTTATCATCGAAAATACGACAAATTTTAATTTTGTAATTTAGATAAAATTAATCAAATCCTGTGGTGCCATCTATGAAAGAGAGGTAGAAGCGGGTGAGAAGTAGGTATTTGTTTGTAGTTGCAGAACTTTTAGTAGAAGTCTTCTAAAGTAGAAGTGGTCTATGCTGTGCCGAAAGATTGACAATTGTCTGCTTGTCTCGACTGGAAATATGGCTGTAAAATAACCAAAATCCCTTTGTTTGAATAGCAATGTTTTTGTAGTGAATTAAAGTAGGTGATAGGATAATCGAGGTGTCGAGGGGAGTGATCAGGAATTGAGGATGAGCAGGAAGAACAAGAATAAGTGTTTGATTTGAGGATAATTAGAGTGGTGTGCGCGAATTTAAAGAGGAGAAGTTTGGATGAAGCAAACAGGTACGAGGTGAGTCGTGAGACGAATAATCCTGAACTAAATGAGTTTTGGGCGGTTGATTAATTGTGTGCTGTTAAAAAAGAAAAGAAGGAAATATAGTAAAACTTGACTCAGTGCTAGGTATACCTGCCCAACTAATTATAAAATTACTGGTGCATGAATGTGTTGGTCCGGTACAGCGGATAATGCACACAACCTGACAAAATGTTAGGGACAATGCTCTAGAGCCAGCAATGTCTAGTGCTGCAGTGGTAAATTCCATAAAAATGCCGATGTCTCGAACGCAACTGTTTCCTGTCTCCTCGCACGCAGCATACAGCATCCAGCAGCAACAAGAAGGCGTAGGTGGCAGCTTGCCGCCGCTGCACAAGAAGGAACAGAGCCCGCCAGCAGCCTCGACCGCCTCTTCTGCCAATTCGGCCGGCCTACCGGAGTTATCTTCCTCGGTGTCGGTGTCATGCAACCACCACCTGGTGGGGAGGAACAGCATCGGGGTGGTGGCAGCGTGCCAAGGCGGCCAGATCAAAGGTCCGGTGGCCAGCGTCAACGTAACAGCTGCAGCTGTGGCGGTGGCGGCGGCAGCTGCGGCCGCGGCGGCAACCACCACGACTAGCAGCACCGCCACTCCTCCGGCTAGCACTGAACTGATGATAAGCACCGACTGCCAGGCCAAGACCACCATGGTGGCCACCCCCGAAAGAGTCATGAAGCTTTACGTGAACAAATTGACCCCCTATGAGCACCACGAGATTTTCAACTACCCTCAGATTTATTTTATCGGGGCCAACGCTAAAAAGCGACCAGGAATCATTGGTAACCCGAACAATTGTGATTACGACAATGATCAGGGATCATATATACACATTCCTCATGATCATGTAGCTTATAGGTATGAAGTTCTTAAAGTAATTGGAAAGGGTTCGTTTGGCCAGGTTGTTAAAGCCTACGACCACAAAAAACACATGCATGTGGCACTGAAAATGGTTCGGAACGAGAAAAGGTTTCACAGGCAGGCTCAGGAGGAAGTTCGTATTTTAAAGCACCTCAGAAAACAGGATAAAGACAACACCATGAACATCATTCACATGTTGGACTCTTTTACATTTAGAAATCATATGTGTATTACTTTCGAACTTTTATCAATTAATTTATATGAACTGATTAAAAAGAACAAGTTTCATGGCTTCAGTTTACAACTTGTGAGGAAATTTAGTCATTCACTTCTTCAATGCCTGGATGCTTTAAACAGGAACAAAATCATACATTGTGATATGAAACCTGAAAATATTCTACTGAAACAGCAAGGAAGGAGTGGTCTTAAGGTAAAAAATAACTCTTACAAAAATATACTCAACTTTAATATATAATATAACATGTTCCATAGACTGTAGCACAAATTACGTTATACAAGTGATATCCATCTTTCCTGATGCAATCTTTAACTTTGGTTCCAAAGCTGTTTTTTTAAGGAATCAGAAGAAAAAGATGAATGACTTAATTTTTGCCACTCTGGCATATTCAACATACATTTTATTCTCATTATCATATTTAAAAATGCAGTCCTGAGTGTGCTCAATGTAATCTTGAACAAAATCAGAGTTGAAAATTGCATAAGGTAAAAAGTACTCTGCTTATATGATTTTCACTAAACTAGCATACTCTAGTATGTATTAAATTATTAATGCCAGTAATGGCAGTTTTTATCTTAATAAATGTAGTTACTTGTGGCTGGTTTATAATGGCATTAACTGTATTCTCTACTATGCAATCTGTATTTTGTATTCTGTACAATTTATACGCTAAAGAAGTATCGCTAGTAGCGCCACCACTCGGCTGTTATCATCTTAACAAAAGTACCACTTTTAATAATCAGCTGTCAAACGCTTAGGTTACAAACGAGTTTTTTTGAGAATAAAGCCGGAAAATGTTAAAAAATATCGAAAAAAAAACCGTGGCTCGGTTTTTCAATAAACAGTGTTAATCTGAATGAAGAAATAAATTGCATACAGTCTCTGTAAACATAAATTTTACCTATTAGATACAATAATTACACATTTTAGTAGTGATTAACGTGAAAAGGGTAAACATTTCAATTCAGTAAAAATCGTCAAACAAAAAAGTTGTCTAAATTTAAACAGAATTTAGCATTATTAAAAGCGTTGTTTAAGAAAGTCTTCACTCAACGGTGAAATACCATTATATTATGTATTATACTTATATAATATTTTGTTGCCATGAATTCGTAGGTATATTTTGTTTAAAATGCAGTTGTCGGCGTTTTTTAGAGAACTCAAACATAAAATTGGTTTATTTTAAGGTTATGTTTGTGCAAAAATTATTTTTTACTAATTTATTAAAAATGTCCGAACTTAAATATAAATTATATTAGGTAAAGTTATCATTAGTTAATTCTGCACCAACAAATTGGATCCTTTGGCAAAACATGAAAACGCAACGATTTAGTTCTTGAATTTTATTTACAATTAAAAACAAAATATTCCACCATGGTCCCTTAGATAAAATTCACACACTAACGTAACTATATAAACATTTAAGCGTTAAGTTTCTTAATCAATGATATAAGGAATAATCAATCGAAATCGAGTACTTCAAAAAATTTGTAATTTTTTCCTTGCAACGTAAAACACTAATAACGTGCGCGATTTAGCTGTGCAATTGAACAAAATTTGTCGAGTAAGACATCTGCCTTCCTCTATTTTGTAAAAAAGCTACCTATTTATTTAAAAATGATGTATAATCTGTGCTTTAGATGTATTGTTGACAATTCTTAAATTCACGCAATGCATTCGAAGCCCACCAGATGGCGCGCGCGTTGCAAAAACCCGATACTTCTTTAGCGTATTTCTATAAACTTCTTTATCTTTAACCTTGATCTATTTTTGTTATTCAAGAGTAGTTTCATTGTTAAATACGCAGAAATAATGAAAAGTTTATGAAAAGGTAAATCGTATTTTCTTAGGATGTAACGCGAGTGACTGGTAAATTTTATTTTCTAAAAATAACAATCTAAAAGAATTTTGTCTATTATGATGTTATAACATTATTATAATTTAATTTAATGTAAGTATAAGAAAATTGAAGATGTCGATAATTCAGCATAGCTGCATTACCGATATTTTGACATACATATGTTGACGTCTGTCATTAAATATACGGAACCTCGTACGGAACGTATAAACAAACTATAAAAAACAAATTTATGTATATTTACAATCAAAATAATTTAAAACAATATTTTCAGTTGAAAGGGAAGGCGGGAAATCGGAAGGAAGTCAATTAATTTAATTAATTAAAATCTAAATAAGCAGCGAACATAAATATGTAAATACAAAAAAATTGAGGTTAGAAATTATGACGACATTCCCACTCGCACTTGTTCTCCAGCTTCCTATTGGTTGGGAATAATCCGTAATTCCTCACGATACACAATGCGCATGTTATAGCTATCTCTCTCGCACCGTGTGACGTCATGTGCGAACCAAAAGCTGGCGGGTAATTGATTTGGAATGTTATTTGCACTGCAAATTCACGTTATATAAATATAGGGACGGCCTGGGTGCAATTATTAAGTGTAACAAATGTTAAGAGAAAGCTAAATTGGCAGAAATACTAATATAACATATTTTAAGCAACAATTCATTTCCTACCTTCCTATTATTATTTTTCAAAATATTTTTAACTTAACTTACGCTAGACCGAAAGGTAACAAAATTATAAAAATGCATGTATACAGGTGAAAAGTAAAAAAAAATCTCAAAACTGCTTTTTTTATTTGGGACGCTTTTCAAGCGGGTTTCCGATACAATTGTGTTTTAATTTTTATTATTAGCAAGAACTTATGCAAGCTGTAAAAAATATGTGGTTAGGGTGAAAAGTTACCATAAGTAACATGTGTACCAAAAACGTTTTTTATTTTCATTTTATCCTTTCTCTTGCATGCATTCATCCAGTGTGCTGCCAGATCTTTATTTTTTGGAATTATTTGGAAAATATTTAATGTTAGGTTAGGTTAGTTATTAAGTCCAACAAATATAACACAAACTTATAAATAACCTGGTATAAAACACCTATAAATAGTTATTGCTGTTCAATAAATGCAGTAAAAACTTTACGAAAAACGTTGCGTGGCTTATACTTTGAAAAACACAATAATTTAGGAAAAAACTCCAAAGAAATCGTAGTAAAACGCCCGTGCATAGCGTATTCCGTATTGAATTTGGTTCGCACGTGACGTCACATGCGTGGAGTCGACGAGTTTTGTGCAAGATACATAGTCCTTAAGATAGGATGGTGCGCATGTTGGGCGGGGCTTAAATACGTCACTTTATGAGTGTTTTTAAATCTCTAACGTGCTTTTTAATTATCTGCTGATAAAATTCTTGTTTTTGCGATGCTGTTGGATGTTAACTTGCTCTATTTTTAAAACTCCAAAGAAATCGTAGTAAAACGCCCGTGCATAGCGTATTCCGTATTGAATTTGGTTCGCACGTGACGTCACATGCGTGGAGTCGACGAGTTTTGTGCAAGATACATAGTCCTTAAGATAGGATGGTGCGCATGTTGGGCGGGGCTTAAATACGTCACTTTATGAGTGTTTTTAAATCTCTAACGTGCTTTTTAATTATCTGCTGATAAAATTCTTGTTTTTGCGATGCTGTTGGATGTTAACTTGCTCTATTTTTTGTTTAACTTGTTGTTTTAATGTTCGGTAAGGTTCGAATTACTTTTCAGTGTTCAAATTATTGTTATTGCGTTGTGTTAACCTGTTCTGTTTGTTTATTATTGTTTTTGTGTTTTAGTTTGTGTCGTGCCATTTGCATTTATTAAAATGCGGTGTGGCATATTTGGGTGCAATTCGGACAACCAGTCCAAGAAAAACCCTTTAAATAAAAACATTAAATTTAATTGATTCCCGAAAAAGTTTGATTTGTGGAAACAGTGTTTAAATACCACAAAAAGAATAGACAATATTAACGTGAAGACCGCTTCTGTTTCCTATAAACATTTTCTGGACAGTGACTATAAGTTTAATTTAAAACACCAATGCTTAAACTATAGCCCTAAATGTTATCAAGGACTGAAAGCATCTATTATCCATATTATAACACTTTCTTTAATATTAAGTTTAATAAAAACGCACTATGTCCAGATATTTCTCTATTTTCTTTGATAATATTACTATTATTCGTGTATTCTCACGGCAACTACTCATCAAGTGACGTCATGCGCGGCACGAACCAAAACTCGTACACGGGAGCATCCAGCCCTGAGTTTTGTGTATCGTCTAATTCCCCTATCAAAAATTGATCATCTCAACGGCTAGAGCAGGGTGGAAGAAGGAGGTGATTCAATTCCGTCGTTGAAAGCGGCCAGATAAGTCAGTATTTGTTAAAAATCAAAGTAGATGGCGCCAAAAATAAGAACCTATTTATTTTTTTAAATCCCGGTGCATAACAAACTTTTTCCATTTTTAGTAAAATTGCATTGATTAACTTCAAAGAATAGACTAAGCTTAATTAAAATTCAAATAAAACCATTTCAACGTCACTTTTGTGCGTTTGTGGCGACTGTGCATTGTGGCAGAACAGTTGGCAATACTACAGTATTGCTAATCGTTTTGCAAATTATTATAATAATGCTGTAAGAAAAGATGTAATTTTCGTTAAGGAGGGTAGAAGACTCTCCTTGGGTTTTCGTTATCTTATAATTTGTTGTTAAAAGTTAAGTTGTTATAGAATATATGGATTTCGTTGGTAAAACCTTAGGTTCTTAGTTGACTCGCCATCTAACGAACAACGAACGAAATACTGACTTATCTGGACGCTTGCTTCTGTTCTGTAGAGATAGGAGCTATATCACCTTCTTCTTTCACCCTGGGCTAGAGAATGCAGTTTATAAACTGTAGCATGGAAAATACCATATTTTAAAAAATACGGTTACAGAAAAAGTTAAGGCTTATTGCCATTATTGTTACTTTGCTTAAGCCTTAAGTACCTACATTTCTACTATTTCTAATACTTATTAGTAGTCATTTCTCTGTAAAAATGTAGTATATTGAGCATTGGCTTAATGTTAATGTTTGTTAATATTTTAGGTAATTGATTTTGGGTCGTCGTGTTTCGTGCACAATAGAGTGTTCACGTACATTCAGTCGCGTTTTTATCGCGCCCCGGAAGTGATACTGGGCGCGCGTTACGGGATGCCGATCGACATGTGGTCGCTGGGCTGCATCCTGGCCGAGCTGCTGACCGGATTTCCGCTGTTGCCGGGCGAGGACGAGGCCGACCAGCTGGCCTGCATCATGGAGCTGCTGGGCATGCCGCCGCAAAAGCTGCTCGACGAGTCGAAACGAGCGAAAAACTTCATCAGCTCGAAAGGTATACCGCGCTACTGCAGCTGCTCGACCTTGGCCGACGGCACCGTGGTCCTCAGCGGCGGCTTGAGCAGGAGAGGCAAGCCGCGCGGACCTCCGGGCTCGAAGGACCTGCACCGCGCGCTCAAAGGCTGCGAGGACCTCTGGTTCATCGATTTCATCGAGCGCTGCTTGGAGTGGGACCCCGACAACCGCATGACGCCCGCGCTGGCGCTCAGGCACACCTGGCTGAGGAGGCGGCTGCCTCGGCCGCCCGGCGACAAGATCAGCGAGCAATCGAACAGCGCCGGCGTGCCGCGCTCGCCCAACCCAGCCGCCAACTCCAGAACGCCCAAGTCGACTGCCGGCCCGACGGCCAGCAGCACGCTGTTCGCTAACAACAAGGCCGTGCGCGTTCAGCTGGCCGACGAGCGCTCGGCCACGCTGATGCACTCGGGGAAGCTGCCTCCCGTGACGTAACACGCGCGCTGAACAATCCACCCGCCGCACCAAGGTAACTTGACAACTTTATTCTACTGACTCATTGACTCATTGCAAAATCACAGCAGAGGCAAAACAAGTGTTGTTGTTGTTCTTCTTCTTCTTCTTGTTGTTATTGCTTTATTCCCATCCGAGGGGTCAACCACACCTAGGAATACCTGGACATTTTAGAGGGGGAATACCATAGGAATACAATGGGGGAATCCCTGGACGTTTTTCCTTTGGGTGGTTGACCCCTCGTTCCCATCATAATATTATTATTGGATTGTTCTGTCCGAATATCTGTCTCTCTTACATCGAGCGAAAATTATTTTACATTTGGTTCTAGGGATTTGTTATGAGGCTTCGTTTGTCTGTACATTATTTTTGCTATATATATAAGAAAATTTTTTATATATAAACTTTAAATTTCCTATATATATATAGAAACTTTTTAGTTCAGATAATGCCGCTTGAGAATGAGGGCGCTTGGTGGTATTCAACTAAAAAGCACTGTTGCCAGAGTGTGCCAATGCAAAGTTTTGGTCAGTGTTTCCAACATAACGGATCTTCGGCTAGCGGAACAAAATGATAGCAAAAAGTATAGGATTTTAGATTTTTAATAATAGGTATTTAAAAAAACTAAAATTTCTTACTGCTTGCTTCTCTTGTCAATTTAAAAAAAAACAAAGAATTTAAAAAAAAACATGGACTCTTACAAATTTAATTAAATAGGTACAAATCTTATGACAAATACCATTCGATATTATGTTCAATTTTCCGTTAAAAAATTTGTCAGCCGTAAGAGTAGAGTATCTTTTTTTCCTCGACCTTTATTAAAATCTGCTAGATCTTGCTAGACGTTATGTTGGAAACACTGACCAAAACTTTGCATTAGCACACTCTGGCTTTTTAGTTGAAAACCGCAAAGCGCCCTCATTCTCAAGCGGCATTATCTGAGCTAAAAAGTTTCTATATAATATAGGAAATTTAAAGTTTATATATAAAAAATATTCTTATATATAGCAAAAATAATTTACGGACAAACGGCGCCTCATAATTTGTTCCTTCAATACCAGTGGTTGTATTTACAAAACTTTTTACACAATGACACATAATAAATTGTATTTTTCAAATTACTATATCAATTTTAATTGTACAATTCTACTATGAGTAATAGACTCGGCCGAAAAAATCGCCTATTTTTTTTTGTAAAGTACACTGGCGAAAGAAATGTATCATTATTTTGTTGTTAAACATTTTACAAACCAATCATTCGATTTTGGTTATCTTTTTTTATTAAAGAATTTATTATGACTAGTTATCTTATAAATCTTTGTTTCTTTTATATACGGGGTGTTATACTAATACTTGATTTTTTTCAAAAATTTTGAAACACCCTGTGGATAAAAATAGCATTAATAGCAAATCGAAAATATCATGGTATTTATATAAATATCAAAATATCGGATATACAGTGTTGGCCATAATTTTTGAAACCACTGTAAAAAAATCTAACTCTAAAACGCCTTTATTATTCTTTATGAAATTTTTGATAAAAATTCTTCAACTTATATCTCAGTTTACGTGTTCGAGGGTTTTTCGAGAAAATATTTTTAAAGCCTTTTTGTTTAATAATGAAAAAACGTTCGAAAAATAACTTTTAAGGGTAAATAAAAAATATGCTGTTAAAGACCGTATTTTTGTTAGTATACCCTGAAAATTTTGTACAAATTAAACGAACAGTAACGAAGATACAGCGCTTCAAAGTCGGTAAAAATGGCCTCTTTTTCATTATTTTGCTGAAAATTGGTCATTTTTGACGACTTTGAATCGCTGTATCTTCGTTGCTGTTCATTTGATTTGTACAAAATTTTTAGGGTATACTAACAAAAATACGGTCTTTAACAGCATATTTTTTATTTACTTAAAAAAAATACCCTAAAAGTTATTTTTCGAACGTTTTTTCATTATTATAGAAAAAGGCTTTTTTTCTAAAAAAAAACCCCAAACACGTAAACTGATATATAAGTTGTAAGTATTTTTATCCAAAATTTTATAAAGAATAATAAAGGCGTTTTAGAGTTAGATTTTTTTTACAGTGGTTGCAAAAATTATGGCCAACACTGTATATCGATATCTTGATATTTATTTTTTTGAAGGTTTTGGTCAAAAATTAATTATATTAGCCGGAATAAAAATGTTTTTAATAAATGTATTTTAAAAAGTAAACAAAACACTTATAAAACAAAAAATAAATTCTTAACAAAAAATTTTAATTTCAAAAGGTTCAACATAAGATCTTTTTTCTTCTGCATTTTATTTTTTATTACTTTTATCACTGCAATTAAGAATATAAAACTTACACAATAAAACGACGATTTCGCGGCCAGTATACAATTGTGACAATAGATAGCGCTATGGTCGTTTTTTAGACAATGCGCAGGATTAAAAATTGTGGATAATTTATTATATAATATTTTGGCATCAAAATTGTCAAAAATATTCTTCTTTCATTAGGCTATACACACATTAAAAAAAATGCAAGAAATGTTTTATAAAAGTAGAGATAATTTTAATAATTGAAATGTGTGGACGGGACAAAAAAAAGATGTATCTTGCCCCATCCATACCTGTCAATTATTAATAATATTTCGACTTTTATAAAATATAGTATAGGCGTTTTTTTATTTAATGTACAGCCTAATAAAAGAACAATATAATTGACAATTTTGATGCAAAAATAATATACAATTTTTCAATCAAAACAGTCACAATCCAAGTAATATTTGTTTATTAAAATAACCTAACTGCCATATGTGTATAATTTTATTAAATTACTGAAAAGTTTTGTAAGTACGGCCATAGGAGTTGTGATTAAATGTAAACAAATTGTGCATTTTTTTGGTATATAGTAAAGAACCTAATTACCTAATTATTTACTGCCGCCTTTATTATCGCCTTAGTCAATTAACACCCGGTATAAATTCTATTAATTTTAATCTAAACGTGTGTTTAGAAATTGTGGAATTGAACTAACTGCATTATACTTTGTGATTTTCATTAATTAGTTAACATTTGACATACTCTTGTCATCATCTATGTACAATGAAGAAAAAACTTACCAAATACTATGTGTAAATTCTAGTTATTTTATGCTATGAGTTGCTCAATTATTTTCTGCATTTATTACCATTAATTATGTATGATTGTTTACTCCAAATTAAAAAGAGAACTTTATTTATTTACATAATTCTTGTATATAAATGACTAGACTGGATTGATTTAAAATGTTTACTTTATACACATTTTTGGTTTACAACGACTTTTGATTTAAAAAGAAGGAAAACTAAGGCCTTAAAATAATTAAACATTTTAATTGAGAAAAGCTTTAACATTTTTGTTTAATTTTATTAAGTGATACATAGATTGTATGTATGGAATTAAGACATGTATATACAGGGTGTTTTAAATTTGTCAAATTTATCACACACTGTGTTATGTAATTATAAATGCTTGCCTGATACTTTTTACAATCCCCAACTGGGGATGGGGATGGATAGTTTAGTGTAGTGAAAAACTTGGCCAGTAGAGATTATAATAAACAACAATTTATTCATTACTTTTGTCTTTCGTTAAAAACACTAAAAAACCAACCAGTCGTTTTAATTACCTACTTAAATATTGTAGAGAATGTGCTTGTACATAGTTTTAGGGCTGGATATACAGGGTGGTTGATAAACAAACATTAATTAGGTCCTTGTTTGTACATATTCGTATAATCCCTGGTATTTAAATAATTAATTGGTAGTAATGTTATATTAATTTGAAAGCAGTGTTTATAATCTTTTCTGGCTGTGTTCAAATAGTGCCTATAGCAATCAATTTTGTATTACTAATTTGCACTGCTGGTAGATTTTATATGTATATAAATATATTAAGAAATGACTGCTCTACTTCATGAGTTTGGCTTATACATATAATAAATGTAACACATTTTTATAACTGTGTTAACGCTGTGAAATACCTTTTAAATATACACAGTGTCAAAGAAAATTTAGCATGCTTTTTTAGTTCATTATAGCACAATAAATAAGTATGATGGTTTTGACAAAAAAATCAACTCAAATTCTTTTTATTTTATACTATGTACAAACCTAGGTATTTTAGATATCTACGTTAATTGTAAGCACTAAATATTTTTTTAAAAAGTAAGAATTGACTGATGTGTTAAAATGACGCACAATGATTTTTGTTCTTTGTTTGTTGTCTGGCTGAATACTGCTAAATTAATTGGTAGCGGTTGAGTTTGTGTGTCACCCAAACTCATCCACCACTGATCAAATCATTCGTCTGGACAATGAATATTTTTGTTTGCCTTTTTGGACCCTCTCACCTGTACGCTATACGCTGCTGCTATGCCGCACTTTTTTATTTGTTTGTTTAGGAATGTAGAAACTATAAAAAAAATTGGATTTTTGTATCAAAATTATTGGTTGTATTGAGAGCTTCTACATTTATGACTTGATTTAGATAGATAGATTTTAAACAATAGTTTGTAGCTGTAAGTCGTGAAAAAATTAGGGGCCTGTTGTGCTCATTTTGTACATAATGACATGGCCCCATACTGCCGTCTGCATAAGGGCTTGATCTCTTTAATTTTACTTATTTTACATTATATATTATTATTTTATCGACAATGTCCGGTCTTGAAAATTTTACTCAATTTAATAAAAGGACCTTATAGACTGCTCTTTAATAATATCGCAATTTTTATTACCTATTTACTAAGTCCATCTAATTATTTTATTTTAATGTCAAATGTCATCCCTCACTATTTAGGTACTTACCTACCGATCAGTTGGGTATTTCAAATCGATCGTTTTAATTTATTTACAGCTAAGTTTGACTAACTGTTTAATTCTAGCAATGATGTGATTGTATGTCATGTTTATATATCATAATTATAGGATATAAATAAATCATTCTTTATTTAAAATGCCTTTTATTTCCTTTCCATTCTATAATAAATATGATATTGGTTGCATAACTGTTTATAGACAATTAAAAAACCAAAATTGGCAGTATCCATATATACTAGTGTACATTATCCTTTTATGTATGGGTATCTTTTTTATTTGAAGAGCTAGAAGGTCGGTTAAATTAAACAAAACAATATTCCTTCATTACATGATCTATCAATTATTGGCTTTTCAATATCCACAATATCCTATATATGAATTGTAATAATAGTTATTTATATATCAAGGCAGTAAATTCGTATTTTTTATCACGAATGTGGAAATTATTTGCAGAGGCGAAAGCCGAGGCAAATAACCACGTGAGTGATAAAAAAAGTATAATGGGCTGCATACAATACTCTCTATTAAATCGGCAGTAAAGTTCTACTTTACTGCCGATTTCAGATAAATAATATTTTTTGAGGGTAATGTGACAGATGTCCACAGTGAATGAATTTCAGCCAAAATAATAATATAACAATTTTTAAATGGTAGGTATTTTGTAGTAAAAAAAAGATTCAAACACTTTGGTGACATATATGGTGGTAACAAAATTGTTGCAAGTACTTTTAAAGAGCATCTAATTATGTACAAATCGCACCAATCTAAATAAAATTGAAAAAAACATCCTAATTTCAATAAAAAAAACTTTAAAATCAAATTAAAAGTACTTTGGAGTAAGATTAAGAGCTGAGCCTTTTTGGAATTTTAAAGCGGAACGCCCTCAGCATAGGCAACCCAGATTACTTCAATGCACACTGTGTAGTAAGTACGCGAGTAAAAATTTTGGTCAAAATAACATCAATATTATATCATTTAAGTGATATTTGATATCAAATTGATTATCATTTTTTGTTTGTATGACATCGTAGTGATGTCAAAATGTACGGTTATAATGTCATAATGATATCAATGTGATGTTAATAATATATCACAATATTGTTATGAAAGAAAGAAAATACGTTTATTTTGAAAAATCCAGAGAGTGCACGTTAACACTCTATACGGATTCATCCTCTCACAACAATACAACAAAAATATACAAACAATAAAAAATAAAAATATAAAAGTAGTAGTAGTAGATATTCATTTCACATTTCGTCATGTTTTAAAAGCTTAAGCTAGTTTCTATACTATAGATAGGTACATTACATGTTTGATAATGCAAGGACGGAAAAGAGAATAAAAATAAAATAAAATGACAATACCCGTTGAAACACCCTAGCTTGGAAGTCTAACCCGAGGCGTCCCCCAAAGCCCGAACAACAACCATCAGTGCGGTCTGAGCATAGACCACACTGGTGACCATTACAGCTCAGACTCCAAAAGATATCTCAAGTCAGACTCCAGAAAACATCTCAAACCAGACGTAAAACCCCTAATGTGTTTGTTTCTGATTTCAATAGGCAACGCATTGTAAATTTTGACACCATTATGATATATGCAACCTTTACCTCTCATTGATAAAACCCTTTCTAGGTTTACATCAGACTTATGACGTGTGTTATGGTCATGGTGGTCGTTGCGAAATTTTAATGAAATATTGGAATGGCGAGTATTAAGATTAACTTGGTGTATATAAACAGATACCTGGTATTTATAGATGTTTTCAAGAGGCATAACATTATAGTTTACAAAAAGAGCTTTTGTGCTGTATCTAATTGGGAGGTTGTATATATTTTTTATCGCCCTATTTTGCAAGATTTGAATAGGCACAATAAGGCCTTTACGTGCAGGATACCACAGTGCAGTCAAATACTGAAGGTGACAATGGACAAGCGAAAAATACACAGACCGAAGTAGTTGTGCTGGCAACATAAAACTTAGTCGCTTCAACACTCCCACCGGCGCAAGTAGTCGTTGTCTTAATTTTAATAAGTGCTTTTCCCAGGAAAGGTTTTCATCAATGTAGAGGCCCAAGTATTTTATTACATTAGAATATTGTAGATTGTCATTTCCAAACAAAATAGGCAATTGATCAATGGGCTTATAGTGGCTATGAATAAACATATATGATGATTTTTTTACATTGAGTGATAATTTATGAGTTATAAGCCAGTTATGTATTATTTCCAAATCAGTTCTTATTTTTTGTCTAATGACATCTAAAGATTTATCATAATACACAAGCATGGTATCATCTGCATATAGTTTTATTTCACCTAGCAAATTAAGGTTAGAGACAGAATTAACATAAATAAGAAATAAGGTGGGGCCCAAGATGGAGCCCTGTGGCACGCCGCATTCAATGGAAAGGCCGGAGCTTTTCACGCCATTGATATTAACAAGTTGTTTCCTTTCTGACAAATAATCCGCAAACCAATTATTGCAAACACCGCGCATACCAATGAGCTCCAACTTTTTCAACAAAATCTCGTGATTCACCGTGTCAAACGCCTTCCGTAGGTCCAGCGACACTAGTGCAGAAGCGTTTCCCTGGTCCACCTGCATCTGGACATCTGATATAAGATCGATGGTTGCTGATGCAGTGTCGCTGGACTCACGGAAGCCGTATTGACCCTTGTAAAAGAAATCCCGTTGATTTAAATAGTTAATTAGCCTTTTGTTTACAATCATCTCAAATATTTTGGAAAATACTGAAAGAATGGATATGGGTCGATAATTATTAGCCTTGTCCTTATCACTGTCTTTATATAGAGGGGTTACTCTTGCTATTTTTAGTTTTTCGGGTACTTTACCAGAGCACAATGATTGATTAATAATTTTACAAAGAATTGGTACCAAATTATCTTTACACTGTTTAAGAGACCGCACATTCACTCCGTCACTTCCAGTTGCCTTAGACACATCTAGCTTCTTGATCAGATAGTCAATCTCCTTTTCTGTTGCTGGCACAAAGAACATGGTCTCATTGTAGCAGGTTTCACCTTGTACATTCAGGGGAATATTGGGTAGTTTACTAGAGAGTTCACTGCCAATACTCACGAAGTATGAATTCATATGTTGACATATGTTCTTCACATCTCTTAATATCTCACCATCATCTTTCTTTAACGAGCCAATTTCATTGCTTGTGCAATGTTTGTTTTGATTTGTTAAGATTTGATTTACAACCCTCCAAGTTTTTTTGGGGTTTCCATGAGCTTCATCAAACATCCTCTCAAAGTATGTCTTTTTGGCTTCTTTGGATAATTGTTTAACTTTTTTATCTGCCTGTTTGTATTTATCTCTCTTGTTATATTGATGTATTTTTATGAAAAAACGAATTCACGGAGTGCCCTTTTTAGTTTTTTCAATTAAAAAATAAAATTTGTTATCATATATATGAGGTATATACCTTTTAATCCTTTAATGCGGTATAACAATTATTGTAATCTCGAATATCTCGGAAACGGTTTATTTTATCGAAGTTTAATAGTTATCGAACTGAGTAATCGAAAAATTGCAACAAATGTTGTAAAAACCTAACCTCAAAGTTTATATGGGACAATAAGCTTAGAGCAACCCCCGTTTCTACGACACTGTGTTCACTCAAACAATTGTAATTATGTGTGAATATGTGTATTGGTAGTAAGTGACTTTTCGCAAAATATCACCTTTCCAAGTCTACCATAGTAGAAGTTATATTAAAATAACTGATATGATAAGTAACACTTTATAATCCTGTATCTTGAAAACATTAGTAATTAGGAAAAATAATTTCGATTTAATGATTTTTTGTAAAATTTATGATACAAAAAATAGGATATTTTAAATGGAATAATTGAGCATTTATTTAATTACTGTTGTAAAGCTATTTTTAAAGAATGGAATAATTAAAGTGTTATAGTAAAATATATTTCAAAAGGTATATAAATTAAATATTAATAGGGTACCTAAAACAAACTTTCTTAGAGTTCCTTCAGTTTAAATAAATGATTAAATAAAACAGCTTGTTATTAAAATGTGATATTGTTTAATTTATAAATAAAATAACTTTTATAATGCATGAAAGTTTTTTAAATAAAAATGTTACTTGAACATTAAATGTTATGGCAATAAATACAAAACAAAAAAAAGTTAAATAAATTAAATTTTAATAATACTTAAGTCTAAATACAAGTGGAAAAAAGAGCAATTATTTTAGTTGGTTTTCCTCAAGTTAAAAATATTAAAAAAGCTATAAAATAAATTAAAAAAAGTGACTAGATAATAATATTCAGTGTGGAATGCAATTTTTATCACTGCTCTAACCAAGAGGGGAATGCAGAATTTGGAGTTTTTACTTTAATGTTGAATTGCTTTAAAGTGGCTTCTAAAGCTTGCTGATTCCCAGAAAAATAGGCTGATATAGCATTGTGGAACAACAAAAGTTGTTTGTGCATAACTTTTATCTAATAACAAAAGCAAGTAATTAGCAAAAAATACTGTATCACTTGTCAGAATACTTACTCTATTTTCATCTAAAAATTTCATTTTTATGGTAACTTCCGCTCTAAGCTTCATAAATTGTTGTCTGTGCAGCTCGTAGCCCTGTTGCGCCTCCTCCAAGCCGATTGTACCATCAGGCTTTGTTGACATCGACTCTAAATCAGTGCGATAAGCATCATACTCAATTCTAGCTGCTTCGTATTGTCTAATACTTTGCAATGTGTCCTCAATAGTCTTGTTGCATAAAGTATTTACAGAGGATATAAAAAAGTTTAAGGCTCCCAGTAGAGTCTCCCCATTTTTAGTGAGATTTCGTTGTGTCTCCGAGTTGTATAAAAATTCTTCCTGGAGTTCTGGGGATTTTTGAGCTAAATCTGAAAACGCTTCTCCTAAGGCATGCTGAAAAGTATCAAATTAAATAGGTATTGCGTGAATACGTTGAAAATTTACTTGAGTTTGCACTACATGGTAAAAATGACTAGTAAGCGCTCTAGCCAGTCTCAAAACATTGCTATATTTTTTCTGTGTTTCCCTTAACTGATCTATTTGAGTTTCCAGCTCTAAAAATCAGAAAAATAAAAAAAACCTTTGCAATTTAAGCTGAAGCAAACCTGCATCATGTGTTCTTGAAGTCTTCCCTAGCTTTTCGAACATCAGCTGCTTTGTACACTTATAAGTAGATATGGACCAATTTTTGATATTCTCAATCCTTGATGAGGTCTTAAGAATAGTGGAGTCGTCGTTTGAGGTCGGTGTTGTTGGTGTTAATATGGCTGGGGAGCTTGTACATGTTGACAAACCTGTTGGGACAGATCTCGAGTATGGACAAATTGGATTCGTCGCCACCGTGGGAGCGCTATTCCTATTCTCGTTAGCAGGTGTGTCTTTCAACATATCGTGTATACTGGTACGTTCGGCGCTTACAGAACTTTTTAGTTGGGACATTTTTTAACAAAGATCACCTCTACTTCTACCCAAAACTAGTTCAATTCTTGCACCAAACTATCACACAGTAGGTCAACAATGTTTAATACATCACTCCCACTAACTATTTATAAGTTAATATATAAAACACTAACAAAATTTCGCTTGCTTATAAAATTACGTCGAGTGCTTTCTGTCATTACTACAAGTATAAACGTCATTACCATAATTACAGATTCCTTTAAAAAAAACTGTATATATGTGACCCAGGTTACATAACTAGGCAAATATATAACAATTTTATGTATACTTTGTTGCCTTCTTATTAAGTTGCGCTATACACTTTTATTTTGCTGGATTTTTAGCAAAAATAAATACTGTTCACCTTAACATATGCCATTTATTAACTGTTTTTTAGAATTATTTACGGTTTGTAAAATATTGTTCTGCTTCTTTCAGGTAGATGGCGCTTAAACGTTAGAGATGGGTAAAAATGTTTGCCTTTTTATATTTTTGTAAAGAACATGTACCTTGTATGCATTTTTAAAAATAAGCAACTCATTTTCTAAAGGAAAAATAAAAACTATTGGGTTCAAGTAATTTTCCCACCTCGATTAGTTTTTATAACCCTACTTTATGATCTGTGATCCATTGTGTCATACTTTTTATTTTTTCTATGTATTTTATGTAAATCAATAAACAAAATAATGGAAGATCATGCTGTACGAAATGTAGGTAAAAGTGGTTTTAATTTATATGAAGGTATAAAATAATGGATGTTATTTTAGTTCAAAGACTTTTTATTACTTTACAATCAACTAACAGAGAGATGTTTCAAAAAATGTGTGGATCAAATTCAGCGCAGAGAATTGGACCAAAACGAAGTGGCATGTGTCGAAAATTGCTCTACCAAGTTTATTAAGTACAATAACAAGTTAATGGGTAATTTTGTGGTCTCGCAAACTGCACTTGTAAATAAGAGAACCAAAGAAATGGAAGAGGAACAAAAAAAACTGTTGGAAGAACAAAAAATGGCGGAAATAAACACAGAGAATAGTATTGATAGTGTAGCATATTAATAATAATACTAGTAGTTTTATATAAATGTATATTAATTTGTTGGCAATATATTTGTTGGGAAAAATGCATTTTAAATTTCCCCCTTCTTACCAGGGTTTTAACTTTTGTTATGTTAAAATCGTGACTCGAAAACACTGTTGCCAAGTATTTGGATTTCTGGAGGAAAATCTTGCTTGAAATTTAAGAAAAACTTATTAAAATGTAAGGAAAACATATTTTCTCTCTACAAATACACAAAAATATGTTAAGTTGCCTAAAATAATTTAAAACGAATATATTCTAGGAGAATATTTAATAGGACTTGGCAACACTGTTTGGAATGCTTTCTTCTGATTGGTTGACACTCCGAGTCGATGACATATCGTTAAAATTCGCCCTTTCTCGTCATTGAAAGGAAGCCATTTTGCTGACGCCGTTTGTGTTGGTTGTTTGCTGTTAAAATTAAAAGTATAAATAGTGAATAATGGCAGATCCTAGCTCGGAAGTGAAAGTGGAAACCAACCCCGAACAGCAGAACCCCCAAAGTAACCAGGATAGCAACCATGGCCCTCCGAAAACTTTTCAAAATCGTGGAGATCGTGGAGGTGGACGCGGTGCCGGCAGATTCGGCAATCGTGGAGGCGGCAGAGGTGGAGGCGGCAATAGATTCCAAGGGGGAGCCCCAGATGTAAGTACATACACTCATTTTCGACAATAAATTGACAAAAAAAGCCATGTTTGTAGGATGCATTATGCGAATATTTTGTTTACTGTTAGGTATAGGACGTATACGTACTACCGTAGTTCCACCTTTTCTTAGCACGGCAATGTGACGTCCTCTCCTAATTCTACAAGAATAATGTTTAGGCTATATCAAAAGATAGGAAATTATTTTGTTCTAATTACTCCATTTATTGTAAAAAACCAAAATGGCCATTTTTCAAGGATTTAAAAACAACCTGTATAAAATTTTGCAACAAATTATTAACTCAGTTGTTATTGTTAAAGCAATGGATACTTTTTAAAAGATAAAAATCATGATTTTATAGTGGGCTATTTTAACTTTTAGCAAATGTCTACATTTGAAAGAAAAAAATCATTACATTTTCTTAATAAATATATTTACACTGGGGGTTTCTATAGAATTAACCAATGCATTCTTCACTGCACAATAAAACACTACCCTGGCTTTATAGAAAGCACGGATTTAAAATGTTTACCATGTTTAAAAGTAAAATTAAAATAACTTCTAATAAGATCCCATATGTTTATGGAGCTATGTATTTAATATATTATGTATGGACTATTGGATATCCCAACCCTTTTTTCTAGGTCCTATATAGGGTGTCTGCTCACCGTTGCTAACTTTGTTAATATTATATTAAAAGTTTAATTAAAGTCGCTTAAATTAACAAATTGGTGAATTTTTTTTTCTGATTAAAATGGTGGAAACAAAAACGTCGGGTTTTTGAAATATTTACGAATATAACCCTGTATATTTTAACATAATTTGAAAAACAATTTAATTTAGAACAAAAAAAGATTATTTCATAACTACCTTGAACTTAAAAGTAAACAATTAATAAAGTAATAATTTAAACATATATTAGAAATATTTTCCAACACCAAAACAAAACACAAATAATTTCGTTATTTTAACAACAATCAGAAAGTTTAAGTGCTTATTAATCGTTTATTTTTAGGGTGGTTTTATTGCTTTTCTTTTTTTCCATTTAAATATCAGGAAAAAAATGCCACCAATTTGCTAATTTAACTGACTTTGTAGCTCCAATAATAACGGAGTTAAAATGGTCTTTGGAGTATTATTAGGTTTTGCTACATTTATAATAGGTAAAAGAAAAAAAATGAAAAATTTTAATTTTAACTAATACGAACGTTATGTCAATTTAATTGAATTAACACTACTCTCAATTTTAAATTATGCGCTTTTTTTCAAAATCTCAAGCAAATGATTTATTTGAACCCCAAATTTTAATTTTGTAGTCAACAAAAAAATAGGCACCTTGTACTGCTTTGAACACGCATTATTTAGGAACCCCTGGGAACCAAGCTTAAGGTGAGATTAAGAACACTACTAGTCCAAAACTTAAAATTTTAACAAATTATTTCATAAAATCAATTTTATAGTTCAAAATGCATTTTTGTAAGATTACCTCAACTATTTTATAAAATATAATAATTAAATTTTGTATAATGATTTACTCAAAAAAATGCATTTTAAACTTTTAAATTGATTTTGGAAAATGATTTGTCAAAATAAAAATGTTGGACTTGTATTGTTTTTAATCTCTCCAATTCAATTGTTCAGAAGGATTAGTTTAAATATCAAGTGTTATACAGGGTGTCCCATAATTAACGTGCAATACTTTAACATAGGTTGAGAAAATCATGGGCCATGTTTATGAAAAATTATTCAAGACAGGTGAAGTTTTAGGCAATGTAACAGGGAGTTGTTTTTATCTTGAACTGTTTTAGAGATATTAAATAAAAACCATCATCAGGGGCTCCTCTTTTGGGGGCTGTAGCTCCCTTAGGAAGCATTTGGGTCATTTTCAAAATTTTTGTACATTTAAAGAAGAATAAGTAAAAACAAAAACATAATCTACAAACTTGTTTTTTCCAATTTTTTTTTATTTAGGTGTGTTATTTAACACATAAAGTTTTTTTTAAATAAGCCCTTAAAAAAGAAAAAAATGGTCCCCTGGGTAACAAATTTACTAACATATTAAAAAAACTTATACAAAAATGCTTAATCATTTTGAAAATATTTTTTTTTGCTTGTTGGTTTTATTTACACTAAGATTTGTTTATAAAAAGAACATAAATTTATTATTTATAAAAAAATGTTAAGTACAAAACTAAGTAAAAGCAAAAACTATGTTCTATTTCTCAACTTTCTTACATACATAAGTATTTTTAATATATTTTCTGTATTTAAAAAATGTCCATTAAAAAAGTGAGTTTAAGAAATTTTCTTTTAATGCTTTTAACGCTTTTTCTCGATTTTTTTATGTGGGCCCAGCTTATCCAATTAAACGAGCAATAAATTAATAAAAAGTTTTAGTCATTAGTAATATTAATAAAATAATAATAAAAAGTCAATATAAACATTGTTTTGTTGTACTACCTTAATTTTTTTCCAGCTTCTTTGAGGCAAAATACATTGACTAGAAACATTACTATTATAATTCATTTCTTTGGAATTGTCCCCTGGGTCACACAATATGTGATCCAGGGGAAAAATGTATGATTTTAGAACATAACCTCTTTACTGTTTTAAAGATAAAAATTTGTATTTTTGCCCTTAAAACTATTATTAGGATACTTTCTTTTGAGAATCAAAGTCCAACTGGTACCTTTACTACTTTTTATTACTGTGACCCAGGAGAATTCACAGTTTTGCCACGCGGGTATAAAAAATAAAAAAATACAAAAAACGTGTTGTGGCTTTCAGCCAATTTCTACTAAAATCCGTTACCAAATACATTGCCGCAAGGGGGCAGCACCAAAAAATGTGCCCTTAATTCAAGAGGTCATTTATTAAAGCTGTGACCCAGGAGACGTGACCTAGGGGACCGAAATTAAAGAACAAACTTTAGGGGTTATTTTAACCACTTGTTCTTTTAAATATAACCACAAATGGGCTTTTCTGTAAAATTTGGAATATATTCTCAACTATATAAAAAAGGAGGATGTTAATTTACTCGAAGATGTTTAAAAAGCATTAAGTAGTGAATATTATTGCAAGTGGGACAGCTACTTTTTATAGGGTTAAATTTAAAATTTTACAATTTTGCTAATATACAGACTGTATAGAATCAAGTAAGTAAGGCTGGAGACAAGGATGACAAATTATATTCTGATCAGAGAAAAAGAAACAAACTTTAATTGGGTTCAATTTTATTTGTTTGAAACTTAAAAAAAAATAACAAAAAAATTAATAATATGTCAAAAATAATTTGATTTAGTTAATTTTCTTACTTTTAATATTAAAAAATAAGAAAAACAAACCTTTTAGGAAACAATAATAGCATATGGCAACAGCGCGGCATGCAGCCAGATACAAGGGCATGCAATCCCAACCACAGTGGGCGGGGTTTGGCACTTGTTTTATTTAAGTGTATCTATTCGTTTTAATACACAACTAAATTTTTTATAAAATATTAAAGTTGAGGGACAGCAAATGTCCAAGAAATTTGAAAATAACCCATTTGTTTATAAAAACTTTTTTCCTATTTTTGTATGTAGAATCTACTGTTAAAGTATTGCACGCTAATTATGGGACACCCTGGTTAAATTCAGACTTTAATTTTGTATTGCAAGGTTATTTATATAAATCATAGATGTTTCTTGAAAGTAAATTTTGTTTTAGAAGAACATGCACATGAAGCAAGAGGGTAACTTTGGAGGGCCGCGTAAACGCGGACCCCCCGGCGGCCCCAACGGAGGCGGACCGAACGAAGGCGGCGAAAGACGAGATAACAGAGGCAATTACAATGACAAAAGCCCGGCGGAAAAGTTCATGGACAGGATGAGCTCGCTGAGCGGCCCAACTTTCGAAATTCCGCCCGTAAACGCGGCCGAAAAGAAGTTCAACGGAAGAAATCGCTTGTACATCGGAAACATCGGCAATGAGGTCACCGAAGACGACATCAACGATTTGTTCAAGCAGTTCGGGGAGACTGCCGAGATTTTCATGAACAAGGAGAAAAATTTCGCGTTCATAAAGCTCGATTACCATTCCAATGCTGAGAAAGCTAAAAGGGATTTGGACGGGCACGTTTTGAAGTCGAGAAACTTGAAAATCAGATTTGCACCCAACTCGGCCAGCATTAAGATTAAAAATCTCAACCCGCAAGTGTCCAATGAGCTCTTGCATTATTCCTTTGGAGTGTTTGGAGAGGTAAGTTTTTTAATTTTATGTTAATTTTGTATACCTACACAGTAAAAAATTTATAATATTTGTGTTAAAAATAATGCGTGTTAAATAAAAAATTTAAAAATATACATAAAATTTCTAGTGTTTATAACATAAATGATATATGTTATTTGATACAAAAATTATAATAATTAAAATCTGAAAATTTCAAAGATTTAACAAACATTAATGTGTTAAAAGGTCGTACACAAATAGGAATGTTAAATAATAATTTTGTACATTAATGTAATTTCAATTAAAATAACTCCTAAACGAGTGTTAGTTTAAATCGATTGAGTATTTTTTTATTCAATTTTTACTTAAGTATAAATGTTATTGTTCTAATCCTTTGTTTTCTAACCGCGTTTAGTCGGTTGATGATAGTTAATTAATTTAAATATTTTATTAAAATAAACAAAAATACACAATTAAAAATGTCAAAAGTAATTACAAAATATTGTTAAAATAACAAATTAAAATAATTAAATAAAGACATACTATTTGTGTAAAATCAATAGAAAGTTATATGCCATTTCAGGCGCGCGAAACGCACGAATTACAAAACTGTTTTTATAAAAAAAATGTTGATAATTTATTATATAATATTTTGGCATCAAAATTGTCATAAATATTCTTCTTTTATTAGGCTATACAATAAATAAAAAAACGCATGAAATACTTTATAAAAGTAGAGATAATTTTAATAAATAAAAGGTGTGGATGGGACAAAAAAAGATTTTTCTTGTCTGTTCCACACCAGTCAATTATTAAAATTATTTCTACTTTTATAAAATATTTCTTGCGTTTTTTTAAATTTAATGTATAGCCTAATAAAAGAAGACAATTTTGATGCAAAAATAATATAGATATAATAAATTACCTACAATTTTTTTTATAAAAACAGTTTTGTGATTTGTCCAGTCCGCAAGCTTAAAATGGCACCTTAACACTTTTTTGAATAAAATTAATAAAATATAAATAAATTTAACATATTTAATTATGTTAAAGTTATACAGATTTTAAATCATATTAATTATTAGTTTAGGTTAAAATAACCATTAAACACAATACGATTTGTGAAATTAACTTTGCAGTTATGTAAAATAAATAACATATAATAATTTTCTTATACACATTCTGTTGTGTTAAAAATTAACATAGTAAGTAAGTAATAAAAATAAAAAATTAACTAAAAAATTAGAGTGGACTTTCTGGGAAATTTGTTAAATATACATATAATTTTTTTACTGTGTACTTAGATTAGTGATGTAAACAGGAAAAAACATTTTGTTTTTTTAAACATGTTTAAAAAAAAACAAAAGGGTTTGTTTTTTTCAAAAATTTTGTTTTTTTTTCAGAACATTGTTTTTCCTTAATACTGCCCTGCTTAGCAAAACTGCCGCATCTACAATATTAAGTAATAAAGGACTAAAGATCATTTTAAATGTTTTTAACAATTAAAATGATCTTTTGTCCTTTATTACTTAATATTAGATATGGCAGTCTTGCTTAGCAGGGCAGAATAGAGATTATAAGAGAAATGCAGACAATTTTTAAAATAATCGTTATTTATTAGAGGTTTTTAAATAAAAACTTGCTTCTAAAATAAACATACATCAGTGTGGAGCAAACATGCAAAACCCGATAAATCCATTTTAATATTTTAAGGTAATAGTACCGATTCTTACTAATTTTGGTAAAGTCTTTTTAGTAAAAAACAAAAAAAAAAGAACCTAACAGAAGCAACATCCCCTTTTAATAATTTTTTAATATTTCTGGTACATTTTTTACCAATATCTCAGAATAAGTTAATATGAATTTATCGGCTTTTGCATGTTTGCTTCACAAATGTCTATGAAAATTAAAACAAAAATTAAAATACTTTTTATTTATGAGAAAAAGAAGATAGGCAGCATCTACAGGGTTCCCACACCTCCTAAAATTCATAAAATTCCTAAAATTTGGCTTAAATCTTAAAAACTCCTAAAATTCTCCTAAAATTGCCATCAATCTCCTAAAACTCCTAAAAATTAAATATAAGTAGGCCAACTTGACTGCGTTTAATTAAGGTAGTTGTGCTAAAAAGTTTTTTTTTTAAGTAATTTAAAAAATATATATTTTTGGGTTCTAGTTTATTAAATTCTTTTTAAAATGATATAGGTATCACAACCTACATTTTAAAAAACAACAAAATATACCATAAAACAAAATTCATGTAGTAGCTAGACTTCTACAAAATTGTCATTTTTAGCCATATTTCGTTAATTTTCGACAGAAATATACCGTGTTATATACCAAACAAAAGGATTTTTAATTTTCTTTTAAATGATAGCTAAAATAGTAAACAATCTAAAGAATGTTTTGCTGTATCATCATTTTTTCTATTATGAGATTTTTTAGTAACAATAACATTACAATTATTGTTAGTTATTAACTAAACTGTTAAATTTATTTTTTCAAAATATAAATATAACATCATTAAACTTTGGCCTACTTTTTTAACCTTTAAGTGTGGTGAAATTTCTACTTGTAGTATGTAGTAATTTTACCTCACTTTTCATTTTATTAAAAAAAACTTGTCGAGCTATTTGGCTAAAAAACTAGTCAATATAACCTATTTGTACAAAAGAAGTGATATTTATTTATATTTTTGTTAAAAAGAATTACTTATTTTTTTCTTATTTTTTATGTATAGTGTAGAGTTGTTTTTATTTAATTAAATAAATTCATTTGCATACTTTTTTCTCCTAAAATTCTCCAAAAAACCTCCTAAATTCCTAAATAAAATTTGTAATTTAACCGTGGGAGCCCTGCATCTAAATCTTACATGTCAATGTTGGTACCTAACCTACATTACCTACAATTCAAAATCAATATAATCAGATATCAGATCAAATGCCATCTTTGTTAGGTAGTTTTTTTATAATTTGAAAAAACAATGTGTGGTTTTTCTAGAAAAAAGTATTTTTAAATTTGAAAAAAAATCACTAACTTAGATATTTGTATTATTTTCAGATTGAAAAGTCTCTGGTTTGCGTCGACGAACGTGGAAAACCGACAGGGGAGGGCATCATCGACTATGCCAGAAAGGGCAGCGCCTTAGCGGCGATCCGCAAATGCCAGGAGAGCTGTTTCTTCCTCACCGGCTCGTTGAGACCTTGCATTGTCGAGGCATACGATATCGTCGACGATAACGACGGTTTTCCCGACAAAAACATAAACAAAAAGAACCCCGAGTACTTAAAAGAGCGCGAAGTGGGTCCCAGATTCGCTGTGCAAGGCTCGTTCGAGCACGAATACGGCACAAGGTGGAAGCAACTGCACGATTTGTATTCGCAGAAGGAGCAGGCGCTGCAAAAAGAGCTGGAGATGGAGAAGGAAAAGCTCGAAGCGCAAATGGAGTACGCCAAGTACGAGCACGAAACGGAACTTTTGAGGGAGCAACTTAGGGCGCGCGAAATGGACAGGGACAGGCAGAAGAGGGAGTGGGAAATGAAGGAGAGACAAGCCGAAGAGCAGAGGCAGAGGAACGAGGAGCAGATGAGGCGCCAGCAGGAGGAAATGGAGTCCAGGATGATGCTGAAGGAGGAGGAGATGCGCAGGCGTCAGCAGGAGAACACCTTGTTCATGCAGGCGCACAACTTGGACAGCATGCTCGATCAGGAGGAACAGCAATACGATCAACCCAACAATTACAATTGTAAGTTAATCATTTTTATGTATGCATTATTAAACTATATTTTTTTGTTTTTACAGCTAACAGCGAAATGGGGGGAGGAGTTATGGTAAGTCGCAATTATAAACAAATATATTATTAGAATTTGTTTGTTTGTTCCACATAATCTATTTTTAAAGGCATTGGGACCAAGAAACAAACAGCTCTTTATGAATAGAAATACTTTTAAGATTTTATACAAAATGCTTGCTTGCATTTAAGTTAAACGAAAATTATTTAGTGTTTTGTATAAATGTTAACTGAATATTATATTTCAGCCAAAATTAGAATATCATTATTCCATCATGACTCCAGATTTTATTTATTATTAAATGACACAATGATTCAGAGTATTTCTTACACATTTTAAATGTATAAACATTTTTTACTTAGACTTTGATTACTAAAATATATGTTGATAATAATTAAATGCGCATGAGGTTGAAGATTGGACGCGAAATTGAAAATTTTAACCTACTTTAGATCGCGTTAGCGTTTTAAACTCGCCGTTATTTAATTAAATATCGGGATTACTGTTAGCGGCTGTTGGTACTTTAAAAGTCATTAAAAAGGAAAGGGTGAGTACAAAATACCTACAAATGAAAGTTTTCATTCAGTTTCTATACTGGAATCACTAGAAGATTTACTATTTTCCTCATGATTTGTCCATAAGTAATACAAAAAAAGTCTTAGTACGCAGGCGCCACTGTACTCTGATTCTTGCTGGAACATCTGGAGGTCGACAAAATGAAATTTTTTGTTTGCCACAATTTTTCCGGGGTAATTGGGTGCGCTGGGCTATATTGGGTGACATTTGACTGACTCAAAACTAAGTAAAGTAGAAACCACGAATATATGAACGTGACTTATCAGGCACAATCGTACGAAGTAATCTATTGAAGGTCACGGTCCATTGCAGTGCTGTTCTAACTGGGGCATAAATATTTGTAAAAAATCATGAGTGTAATGTTGGTTGCTATACTTCTGATATATTTGGTTTTAAAGTTAAATTTTAATAATTAACATCTACGATAATTAAATAAAATGTAATTTTCTTAGAAACTAATTAATAAATAAACTTATCTTTTAACTTTAAACGCAAATATTTCAGAATTGGTGACAAAAAACAAAAATGTTTACGCAGGTCAGGTAAAAAGTGAAAGATAATTAAATTGTGTGGATATAAAAACAACTTGCGTTAGTTTCACGAAATTTATCAAATATTGACAATTGTTTCGCTACACAGTAGCTTCTTCAGAATGTATTAAACTAATACTAGTACAAAATTTATATAATAAAAATATTTTTGTATTCTAGCCTAGAATTTCTAGGTAAGGATTTTTATACGACATCTACCTGTGTTACATAATATAAACCACTGCCACTACAACGTTTAAAACGATTATTAATTCGTAAACACACACCGTTTATCTCAAGTCCAAAAAACGTACAATAACAATTGCAATAAAGTCCAATAAACATGCAATAACAATTGCGATAAAAACCACTAGCACTACAACGTTTAAAACGATTATTAATCCGTAAACACACAGCAGAAACACGATATGCAAAAACAAAGATCATATGACATATAAAAACAAATGGCCGACGGTAGAGTTGGTTGCCTTACTATGTAATAAAATAAAATAAATTCCCTAAAACACGAACTCTACTGAATTCCAACAAAAAAAAGTAACAAGCTAGGACACGCGTCATATGTCCATCTTTGTCGAACACCTAGGCAGTGTAAAGTGAGATCACATCACAGATGGCGCATTTTAGACCGGATGCTTAAAAACCTACGTGTGAGTACATTTACCGCTGCATCGAATGTACAAGTCAAGTAAAACATTACTGCTAGCATGTCTGAGATATGTTCGGCACCCGATGAGTCACGTTCATATATTGGTGGTTTCTACTGTACAATCCGAAATCCCCCTCAACCAGTAATTGAATAATGCCCCCATTCATTTATCCTTGCTGGTCTTGTAGTCTGCTGAAATTCGTGCGAAAGCCGTTTCTTCAGTGTAAAGGTCGAGAGCTATCGGTAGATAGTTGTCTTCATTTTGTCGTAGAAATTGTATTTACGTTTTCTTTTCTTTTTTAACAATTGGAAGTGGCATTTATATTTTTTTATTCTATATAATTGCTTTTAACTCTTATACCGCTCGCAGCAGGCTATTACTTTTGTTCGATGCTTATCGGAACTGGTTGTTTATTTTAGTTTCGTTCGTTAAGTTTTAAACTTTTTAATTTTGTTGGGCCTGGCCTCTTAAGTTTATGCTTATTTATGTTTTGATACGTTCTTAGGTTTTTCTGCGATTAATTATTACTTATCAGATTTTTGCAGATGATGGCCCCTTCCACTCTTGGTTAGATTCGTTTGTTCCTTACATAAGGTGATTCATATTGGCCTGGGGTTAGATCCCCAGGTATGCTGTCCCTTATCACTAATTTACTTCCGTGTATCCGTGTATGGTTTTTATTCACGATATTTACTTGTTGAGGGTTGCTTTTTAATGCACTAATTAATGTTTCTATTAACAACAGGCACACTGATTTTTTTGTCCAGGTAGTAAATTTTTGCACTAATTTTGCACAGTATTTTCCTTAAACTACACTGCCTGTATCGGTACTGGGACTAACTATATAAATGTGTATTCTTCTTCTTCTATAATTTTTATTCTCTCTTTCGAGAGAATTGGACTTGAGCCAATAAGGCTCTTACTGCCCAGTTACAAGTTTTTACGTCCTTGAGTTTCTCGAAGCCATCCACTCACGGACATGTGGAATTTCAAATCTTGAAACATCCACTAAATCAATTGCACAATTCACAAAATACCTCGCTGAAAGGTCAAAGCTTGCGATATTGTCGAGAAATACCGGTATATTTCTATACCGGGAACCCCATTTTACCCTTCCTGGGTCAAAGTCAACTATTTTCAGACTTTTTCATGGAGCGATGTACAGCCGTTGAAGGATAAAATCGAACTCCATAAATGTGTATAATTTATTTTTTTTACTTAAATTAGGACACAGCTTCAAGACCAATGATCCTTGGTATTTAATTAAAATATATATATACGAATTTGAATGTTTGCATATCGAAAAAAACGGTTTTTTACAATATCTCGAAAACAAAAAATAATTAAGCAAAATTATGGTTATTTTTCGAATCACCGCACCCAAATTACCCTAGATAAGTTGTTGGTCACCCTGTGACAAAATGTCCAGTGTTAATGGCAATTTGTGAATTGCAATGTTAAAATTAATGTGTCCAAAATTTCGCCAGAACATAAAATATATATATTTCAATCTCTTTTAATTTGATTAATTTTTTAATCAGTGTTGTCAAAGTCCAAATAAAATTTTGTTTCTATTTTTTTCACCAACAAAATAAAATTTAGGAGCATGATTCAACTTATACTTATTATTTAATTACAGTCTTTTGTCGTTTTTTATCTCTTTTGTTGTAAATTATTAAATTAAAAGATGCCAAAGATGCATTGCTTGATAAATTGACTTTTTGGTTTTTAAACTACAATTAAATCCACATTTTATTATGTGGTACCACGACTTTTGATTATGGTTATTATATTTTTAGAAGCAACTTATTATATTATACATATACTGCTGCCTTATGACACATGGCCTTTATTTCCCGATTATTAATGTAATATATAAATATATTCCTTATATAAAGCGTTACTATATTACAACAAAAATTAATACTATAAAAAATGTATTATGACTGAAAATGAACAGCAAGAATTTTTATAAACCTACAAAATGCGAAGTAAATTTTGAAATATGTTATAGTAATAGTTTTGTAAATTTTATAAGAATTCTTGTATAAAAAATCAATATTTATTTATCTGCGTGGGTTCCTAATATCGCTGGATCGCGGGATCATCACCACACCTTTATTTAGCAAACCAAACCTTTAAGCCAATTAATCAAGTGTTTTTTTAACGACAAAAAGTCTGTAATTTAAAAAAAAATGGAAACTTAAATGTTGCCCGAGAAAAATCCATCACGTTAACACGAATGTTATTATAAATGTAGGACCCGAAATCGTTCATGAGCTCATACGAGCGCAACCACAACAACAGATTCGAAGGACGTGATAATTCCAACCACCAACGCGGTGGTCAAAATAACATGGGTCGTGGTCATTGGGTCAACGATAATCGTCGTGACGATTTTCCGAACAAAAGGCGCCGCTTTTAAACATTGAAAACAATTTAAAAAAACCGACCAAAACAAAAAAAAAATAGATTCTAATATTCCCGTCATGTTGTGTTACGTAACAGTCTACGTTTGCAATCTTCCCCTGGATGTGTTACATAACGCGAAATTAGGATATTTTGGACTTAAACTGGACTATTATTGTCAACATTTATTGCTTATGCATCACCGTACGCCACTATCAAACCTGCGCCTGCGTAAGTCTTTAGGTCGGTTTTTTGACGCGCAGACGCACTGACAATTTCTCAATACTTGTTCACAATAAACAAATTCCCCGTTTAATTTGAAAGTATGCTGCGGATGACTTAATTAAATTAATCATTCTGATGTAAAAGGATTTTATTTATAAAATTATATTGACGTAGTAGTACACGTATTTTTATGTAAAATTATTGTTCATTTTTCTGATTAATCGACTGCACGAACTCACTTATGGTTCTGAAAATGTTTTTTTTAAAATTGAATTCTAAAACCTTCCTTTAAAATATAAATTAATCCAAGTACACGTATTTTTATGTAAAATTATTGTTCATTTTTCTGATTAATCGACTGCACGAACTCACTTATGGTTCTGAAAATGTTTTTTTTAATTGAATTCTAAAACCTTCCTTTAAAATATAAATTAATCAAAGCTTTTTTAAATTACTTTATTTTTTAATTTAATCAACATAGATGGTTTAGATTTAGATTTTAGTGAATTTGTCATTAACAAGATCCTGATCTTGACAGCTTTTATATGTCTTTAATTATATTAATTATAATTCATGTGGTATTATTTTCATGTCTATGTCTTTTTAGTATTAATGATCAATTAAAGAAACGTACAAAACATTTGTGTTTTTAGTAAACCCTTAATAAAATTCCCCAACAAGGGATTTAAAAACTCAATTACAAATTTTTTATTGGAAAATGTGTAAACTTTAAAGTGGTAACTAGGGCTGGGCGATTATCGAAATTCATAATCGATTAAGTTATTAATTGTCTTGTTTTTTAATACTTATGACCTATATTATACTTGCAATACAAGTTTAAAATTTTTATAAATCATAAAAATGCGTTTTCTAAAAAATCACTATTTTTATTTGGTTTAGTTAAAAATGCCTATAGAATGTACGTACATTCTTTATTTAAAATAATAATAATAATTATTATTACAATAATAATCAATAATCGATTATTACCAAAAAAAATAATCGACGGTTTGATAATCGATTAATCGATTATTTTGCCCACCCCTAGTGGTAACATAACACCTACATATAATTTGTATTTTTGGCAATGTCAAAAAAAAAAATCAACAGAAATTTTAAAATGAAATTCCAATTGAGGGACAACATCATAATATTATATACCACTGAAAAACATCTTATAAAACCCTAATGTACAAATCAAATTTAATGAAGCAAGGGTTTTACTTCAGTACATTTAAAAGTAAACCTTTATACAGTGATGGAGAGGTAAAAATAAGGAAGAAATTCAACACATAAAATTCTCATTCATAAAGAGAAAAAACGCACCGCAGACGGCAAAAATCATTTAGAGTTTATGGCTCTGGTTGAAGAAAACTTATAAAAACTATGCTACACATTGCTGAGGAACTAAACATTCATCACCAAACCATTTGCAGGCTGTATACAAGAAGAAGCTAGATAGCAGTAAAAAATTGTATGGACCAAAATTCAATATATTTATCTAAAAAATGGAAAGAGCTTGACTAGCATCCACCATATAGCTCAAACCTAGCACCACCAGACTAGTATTTGGTTTTGTATCTGCAAAACACTGTTTATTGTTTAAAATTGGTTTTAAAAGAAGCATCTAAAAGTTTTTCATAAGTGAAAATACTACTACTATACTATGGATGGGGCAGAATTGTCTTAAAATAAAATCACTTTTTCTCTATGACTAAGGGCAAAAATAGGTCACGTGGCCAGGAGGTCACGTCACGTTTTAAAATATTTTTGTATCTGGACGTTATTCTATTCATTAAAATTTTGCTTTATTGTATAAAGGTGACGTGACTTAAGGGAAGGGCGATGTAAATAGGGTTGCCAGAAATCAAAATGTCGCAAATACGGGGTGTCATGAAACATGAAAATTAAAGTAAATATTAAACATTTGATGGGCAAACACTGGTTTCGTTGCGTCAGCAACATCTGTAGTCAAGTGAAGATAGCCCTTTTAAATGATAAACAACTGGCCGACTCTACTTAGTCCGTCGACCCCAACTGCTTAAGCGTTCGGTACGTCATGGTTTAAACGAATCCAGTGTCGTGCCAAACAATTTGTTTGAAACAAATTACGTTAATTTTCCCCCCCAATCCATGACAACTTATTACATGACACTCTGTAGAATAATTTAAATATGTAGAATATGTATATAGAAGATTTAAATAAATCATTTATTACTAATTTATTAAAAATAAACACATACGAAATATATTACAACTAAAATAAAAAAATCTTAAAAAATAACAATTAAACATTATATTTAAAATCCAAAAAAAATAATGCTTTTAACTGAACATCGCAATTATACTATTAAAAGTTATATTCTATTCTGAAACTCTGTAATATAGGAGGTCTGGCAGCCCCAGGTATAAATATACTAAAAATTACACCAACCTATTGAAGATGTAATTTCACTCTACTAAAAAATCTAATATTCCTCAATCAAGTTAAACCTTAGCTATTAGTGCATATTTCCCATTTTACCTTTCCTTATTCTAATAGCTTTTGTAGAACCAAAAAATGTATTTGTTAATAAATACTATTGGTAGGTATGTTAAAATTAATTTTTTTAATTATAATTTATTTTGGCATTATTTTTATTACCTATTTTACTTAAAATATTTTCATTATTAATCTAATTTTTTGACCCAATAATTTCAAATAAAAAAAATCAATCAAATTCAAATTTAAATAATAAAAAAATATTTCCAAATTATTTGTACAAATTTTGAGATTATAACAGTAAAAATAACTAAACAAGTTTTGTATAAAATTTATTATTTTTTATTTATGTTTTTTTTATTTATTTTTTAAGGAGCATTGTTTGAATAGTTAAAAAAGTATTTAAAATGACTGAATATTAAAAAAACCTTTTAATATTCTACAATTATTTGCATAAAATTTTGCAGTTATTAGTAAAATTTATTCATAGAGATAAAATAAACTAATATCTGAAAAATTTTGTATAAGATTTAGCCAACATTTTTTATATTTATATACTGTTCTCTTATATAAATGTAAAATATGTAAATTGCTATATTTTTGTGATTAATTTTTTACAGCATTTTATGTTATTTCTAACCAACAAAAACTGAATCTGGTGAACAATATTGTTTTGGAAAAACATTTTTTATTAGTATTATTATTACCATTATTCTCCCTATATTTTATCTACTTGAATAAGTAAATATGTATATCCTATATGACAACACTAAAATCAATACGTATGCAATATTTATATTATCTTAATAATATGGCGATTTTTACAAAATATTATTGTTATTCAGGATTAAGTATTTGTTGGTAGCTTATAACATCCACATATTTATACGAGGTGTGTTCAGAAAATATCGGGAATTTTCGTTTTTTGAAACAAATATTTATTTATTCGTCTACATTGTAGACTTCAAAATAGTCCCCATTGGATATTATGCACATGTGCCAGCTCTTCTTCCAATACTCGAAACACTTCTAAAACTCGATCTTTGGGATAGCCTTTAGTTCTTTCAGCGATGCGCTTTTAATGTCATCTATGCTTGCAAAACGACGGCCCTTTAAGGTTCTCTTTATTTTTGGGAATAGGAAAAAATCAGACAGAGGCATGTCTGGCGAATATGGAGGCTAGGGCATCATTACAGTATTGTTTTTGGCCAAAAATTTTGTTCAAAATTTAACAATTTTGGAACAAATTTTGCTGCCACGCGTTTCATACCCAAAACATTTGAAAAAATTTCATGGGATGACCCAATCGATATACCAACATCATCAGCGACTTCTCTGATGGTTTATAACCATTTCTTCCACTTTTTCCATGTTTTTATCAGTTGTCAATGTGCTTGTGCGTTCAGGGCGTTCGTCATCTTCAACGTCTTCACGGCATCTTGGAAACTCTTATACCACTTGTAAACTCTTGTTTTACTTATAGCAGACTCACTATAGGCCTTTGTTAACATTTCACAGAATTTATTTCATTTTTTAAGCAAAATTGGATACAAATTCTCTTTGATCCATTTCTTTTAACGAACGAAAATCGCCGAGCTCATAAAACACGTCTAACCTTAGCGGCTGCCACAGACAAAGTAAACAATGAAAACAGCTAAAGTTTTTATCATACTTCGGGGGCATGTATACCAACATAATAAATAAAATTTTATGACAACCGGACCCTCCGAAGCCGCGAAATTTAACAATTCCCGTTATTTTCTGAACACACCTCGTATAGTGTTTAATTTGGTTGTGAAACGCATATTTTTATCTGATTTTTCTCGAAATTATTTCATGAAATGTTTCTATTATTTAAAAATCAACTTCATGGTAGTATTTCTGTAGTATCTTTTTCCATTAAATACGATACAATTTTTTAAAAAGTACTTTGTATGAAGAGATTTTTTCAAACCACTTTTTTGGAGCTTCTTCGAAATTTTTGTCGTTTATATCCCAAATTTAGCAAACAAGAGTTTTAAAAGCCAATGGATAAGTTAAGAAGAAAAACTGGATTTTATCAAGTAAAAAAGGATTTACGAAGAATTGTAGCTGATTGGACCTCTAATTTTTTTTATTGGTATATGTTTCAATATTTTATTGTTCCAAACTTTAAACTGAATTGTAGATTTAAAGGTTTATTTATTTAAAGCTTTTCCCATTTAAGTAAATTTTCCAAATTAATCTGCAAGTTTGGTTTAAAATTTGAGTGTTTTATATTACATATTATACTTGTAAATGAATACTTTTTTTGGTGGACAAATTACTTTCGAAAAATACTACTTATATATTAACTCCAGATCAATTATAATTATCAATATGCTCTATTTTATTATAACATGAATCGATTTCTTAAAAAAATTAAGCCACACAGATATGTACATAGATATTTATATTACATTAAGTTTTTCGGAATATTTTGTTATTCAAAAATTAGTATTTGTTTTCATTGTATAATAATATTGATTACATTTTGTGATAAATTTAACAGAGTTGGGTTTTTTTAATTATAAGCTATAATAATTTGGGGAAACTAATTATTTAAATACATTTGAAAAAAATTTGAATATGATTATTTTGTAATTCTAACAAAATATGCATTTTTCCACATTTTTAAACATAATGAACACACGGTACTTCTATGTATTTTTCTCTTAATAATAATAAGTCCATGGACACAACTTATACTATCAACAAGATATGACTTATTAACAGGAAGTTAAAAAAATCTATTAAACAAATATGTTTTAATTAGGTTTAATAATCATCATATTTACTCTGTAATACTGCGTTATATTAAATATTACGCTGTTTTTTATTAGACAACATTTCCCCAACTCTGTATTACAATATATGGCTTAATTAAAATAATAACAATAAATTCACAAATTATGAAATAATAAAGTTTATGTTATTTTACAGTCTTTACATTATTTTTTATTTCCACAGGTACTCATAAAAACTATAACTGGATTTGTGACTTAAAGGAATCCAAATAATGGTAAATAAAAAAAAATTATTTGTATATTTATTATCTACCTACTAATACTTTTCTATGTTCAGATTTGTGGGAAATTATTTAAAGTTGGAAAATATGTCTTGAAGAAGAAGATATCAGAAAAATATGTCCTGAAGAAGATATCAGAAGCAAGAAAGTATTTTTAAATACAAATGATAATAAAATGAAATATAGTAAAATCTCAGTGTATTATTTATTTCCCCAATAAATATTAATATTTACCACAGGTCCATTAATTTTGAAACCAATCTAATCTTATCTAAAATAAATAAAACAAATTCAAAATTTTATTGTTTATGTATAAATTATAATGATTATGCATAGTCCAATAGTACAAAAATGTGGTGCTGTTTTAAAAGTGAGTAGTATTGTAACAAGTTTCTATAAATAAAAAAAGTTATAATTTACAAGGACCAATGATATTCCTCGTTATATGGCCACTTTCACTGCATCTGTGTGTAGTAGAAAGTTTCATGGCTGCCAAACCCAAGATAAATCCTGTACAAAGCATCTTTAACGAACCGTTAACATATATATAGCAATTAATATTAATGTAATTTGTTATATTGTTCTGTGGTTTAGACAGCCATTTTGCTACAGGGTAGACAACAACTTTTCTAAGGCAATTTGGGCACGCTGAATCTAAAAATGTGTCCTAATTTTTTTCAGTTTAATTAGGACCTATAGATTATATAAAACAAATATACCTTGGCTTAACATTCATTTTTAATTCAATAATAAACCGTTTGTACGCTACTGGTTTGTTTGACGCACGGAGCAGTGCATCGGTTGGCAACACTGCAGTCTTGTCAGACACTGTGGCATTGACAGTTCGTTCGTGCTTATTGTTGCGGTTATGGCCTTCAAACTTAAAATATTTATAATTATTGAGAAGTATTAAAACGGGTTATTCATTTGCCTCCAATAAAAATGTAAAGTTCGTTGCATTTGCAATCAATAATTTGGTGCACACACGTCCAACCAGCATGTGATTTTGAGTTGTTAACGTACCTAATTCATTATTTTTGTGTTTGTTTCAAGAAAGTGTTTTGAGCAAAAATATGACAAATGATACGCAGAATTCGGTGCTTTTAACTACGTTTTCCACTGGCAAAAAACTGCTGCGGGTTATTTACCATAATGACAAAATCGTATGGGATAATCAGAAGTCTTCTTCTGGTAAGTAAAATTCCACAAAAAACGTTAAAAAAGTCTTAATTTATTGCACTAATAATAATTATTTTACCATTGTTTGGTAATAAAATTACTCTGTCAAAGCAATTATACCCACTATAAAAATGGAATTTGTATATTGATAACTTTATTTGACTAAGAATGGTTTGAGCCATTAATAGACACATAAAACGACTTCTTATTTTAAAAATGTGACCATGAATAATAGGAAAACATTATTTATTAATTAAACCTTATAAGTAATTTTTTGTCAGACATAATAGTTTTGCATAATTGGTTTCCTTAATGCATAGCAAGAATAACAAATAACAAACAAAGGGTTCAGGTGTAAATAGTGGTACCTAGCTAATGAATTTTTTTTATTTTTAAGTACTTAATATAATTAACACAAATTTCTTTTTTTAACGTGGCAAATAAATCATAATAAAACACTTTTACTTAAAATATTTAAAAGAATCCCCACTACCTAGGTACTTAACAATTCTATTTAATGTTTGTCTATATAATTTAGCAGAATATGTATGGGTTATTCCAATAAAAAGGTAAAAAAAATGAATTGTCAGTCAAGTCTAAATTATATAAAATTTTTGATTTTAACATTGTTTTTGATCAAATTTGAAATTGATTATTATTATTAATATATACTTAGGTGAATATATTGAGAGTGAAAATGATTTTGGGAAGCCACCAGGTCTAGTAATAACATAACATAAGTGGTTCTGCACTACTGCAAGAATTTTAAGAAATTATACATTTTGAATATTAGGGCTTCACGGAGGTTAGGATTTCGTATGTTTTTTTTTAAATATCCCTTTCTATATTTGAAATAAGTTATTGTATCTTTTGACACCTTAATATTTTTAAAAAATACAATTGTACACATAAAACATTTATAAAAAATCTTTTGTCACCTTAAAATTTTTTTAAAATACAATTGTACATACATAAAATATTTATAAAAAAAATCTACTTACTGAGATATTACACTTCACAGTGGATAGGTTTTTAAACAGCAAATTAATGAACTGAAACTTTTGAATTATAAAACAGCAACACTCTCAACTGCATATAAATTCTAACTGACCTTCAGGAATCACATGCATCTATAATGTCGTAAACAGAGGTTTTTGCTTATTTAAAATGATTAAAGCGCCATCCGTTGCATAAAATTTAAAGCAAAAACAGATTCACGGAGGATAGAATCAATTTTTGTAACACCTACATAAATGGTTATAAAAATTATTTCTTTTAATTTTTAAGAATATTTTATATTTGATTCGATTGCTTTGGATGTGTTTAATTTACTATTTGAAAACATATAGGTTAACCTAGAAAGAGTAACGGTCACGGAGGATAGGTTTTAGACTTTTAGAACATTGTAAAAAATAATTAATTGCGGTTAAAAATCTGGAACCTGAGCTGTAATATCTACTTAATTATGAAAGATCAAAACACAATACAGAAAGCCTAAAATTTAAAAAAATTACGTATTGACTCTGTGGCCCATAAATGAAGTGAATATCAAATATCTACAAAATCCTAATTTTTATTATAAACTGTTTTATGTTGATAAAATTGTAATAGGTATATTTATTTTTTTTAAACACATTTGTATTTAGTTTATGCATTGCGCAATATTGTCGATTTTTTATATTAATAGGTATAAATAAATGAACTATAATTCTAAGATTAATAAAATTAAAATAATTTCGCCAACATAATGGTTATAGGTTATATTTAATTTTTGGGAAAAAAGCAAGCGCTGAGTCAAAAAGCTCCTGCAATTTTGCAAATTCGAAAAATTGGTAAAGTAAAATTTGTCTTGGAATTTTACCTTGATATTTTATCAGTTCATTTATAAATTCTATTATTCTAACTACTGAAAGTTTTTCGTGTAGGCAATCAACGTTTTATCAAAGTACTGAGAACAATGTGTTTAAATTTTTTCAGAACAATACACTTTGCCATTGGAGAATATAATATCAGTTAAACAAAATTATTTGGCTAGTGGTCATCCAGCGGAAGACCAGCAATTGGATCCCTACCGATTTACAATACATTATGCAGAAAGACCAAAGGGTGCTAAATGGGTGTACAAAAAAATCGTTTTGAAACATACTGAGCAAATACAAATATTGTCATGGGTTAAAACGCTAAATTTTCATTTGAAAAGTATGATGAATTATTTATAGAATGTTATTGCTGGTAGTAATTATTGTTTTTGTAGATTTTATAAACAGACCAAAACACATATTGTTGTTTGTTAATCCATTTGGGGGCAAAAAGAATGCAATGCAAATTTACGAGAAATACGGAAAACCTTTGTTTTCCATAGCAGGAATGGAAGTTACTGTAAATGTATCTCAAAGAAAGGACCAAATTAAGGATTTTTTGATTCATCACAGTTTGGATATGTTCGATTCTGTTGCCTGTGTTGGCGGTGATGGCACTGTATCGGAACTTTTCAATGGTTTAGTTCTAAGGGAGTGCAAAAAACATGGCGTCAATGCCGATGATATGGACCAGGTCTTGCCAAAACCAAAACTACCCATTGGGATTATACCTGGTAAGAACAAAGTTAGGATAAAAATTGCCTTTTTTCAAAAAATAATTTTATTTATTATTACACTGGTCCACAGAATCCAAAAATAATCATATAAGACTCCTTAAAAATGTTCTGTGAACAGTAATTAAAATATGTACACTGGTATCAAAACGTTTTTAATTAATTTTTTTTTTAAGAAATAGATATAAAATGTTATTCATTATTAAAAAAGGTTGTTCACAAAATTTATTTAAGGAGTCGTACTGGAGCCAAGAGCCAAAATGACCACAAGTACCAATTTTAACACGCGCTGTGTATTTAAGTGCCATTTAAAATATATGTATGCATAGTTCATGGAAAATTATATTAAGGACAAGTTTGTATTTATTATGAATTTTTATAGCTATTTAAACATTTTTTAGAGCACGTTTTTTTAATTATCCTTAATAATATTATCATACCTAATCAATTAATTAACATAAAAATCGACTACTTTTTTTGTAAATAATATTAATAATAAGAGATTTTTTTTTCTGAGCGAGTTTTTGTCTCATAACTCCCAAACCATTGAGTTTAACAAAATTGACTTAAAAATATTTTTTGAAGAAAATTGAATGCTCTACAAAAAAGGTCTGATTAAAATTTCCCCTCAGATGAAGCGTTTCATGGCTTAAAAATTGGTATAGTTTTACAATTTGATCTTCTAACTTTGGAATTTTGTAACTCATGTAAAAATCAGTACCCGGAAAAAAACCGATAGATATTCTTATGGGAAATCAAATGCTCTTCAAAAAAGTCCCTTAACATTTTTGGCTAAATTCACTCCATCAAAAGTTATTCAAGGTTAAAGTTAAAGTCAAAACGTAATTCTTGTTTTTATGCTGTATTTTTTTTTTGGTTCAGTTAAAAACTTGAATTCTTTTATCGATGATAATCGTTATGTTATTGATAAAATTACTGAAAATTAAAAAAAAATTATAACCCATTCGAATTTTTTCGCTTTAAGAAGCTATTTTCTTCAAGAATTTCGTTTTGACTTAAACTTTAACCTTGAATAAATTTTGATTGAGTGAATTAAGCCAAAAATGTTGAAGACTTTTTTTGTAGAACATTTGATTTCCTATAAGAAAATCTATCGGTTTTTTTCCGGGTACTGATTTTTACATGAATTACAAAATTCCAAAGTTAAAAGATCAAATTGTAAAACTATACCAATTTTTAAGGCATGATTGTAAGGAAACGGTTCAACTGACGAAAAATTTCACTTAGACCTTTTTAGTAGAGCATTCAATTTCCTTAAAAAAATATTCTAAAGTAAATTTTGTTAAACTCAATGGTTTGGGAGTTCTGAGACAAAAACTCGCTGAGGAAAAAAAAAATTTTAATTGCGATGATAGACCTCTTAATATTAATATTATGGACTTTCACAATATTTTTTTACCCCAAACCATATTTTCGATATACTTTACAAAAGAAAAAAAATTGGCCCAGACTATTATTTATACTTCATATAGACATTTAAAAATTATATTTTAGGTGGGAGTACTGATACAATAGCCTACTGTATTCATGGTACAACAGACCCGACTACCGCGGTTTTGCAAATAATTTTCGGCGATAAATTAGGTTTAGATTTAGTGTCAGTTTATGATGAAAACAGTTTGTTGCGCCTGTTTGCGAGCGTTTTTAGCTACGGATATTTGGGGGATGTGGCCTATCATAGTGATAGATTAAGATGGATGGGACCTCATCGATATGATTATTCAGGTATGTCTACTATCGATATCATGGAAGACGAAACACACTTTCTATTTGTAGGTTTCAAAAAATTGGTGTCAAATAAGGGCTACACAGGTCAATTGGCGATATACTCTGATCAACCGAAAGTAACGAAGGAAATTTGCCATGAGAGTTGCGATAAGTGTTTAAGTAATAAAAATAGCAAATGTGATAATTTATCTTGTCATTGGGAGATATTTGAGGGGAAATTTTTTATGGTGAGCGCGGCGAATATTAGCTGCGCATGCAGTCGATCACCGAAGGGTAAATGCCTAATGGAATCGACGCATGCGCAGTTTGTGAATGTGGTATTTTTTAGGTATAGCTCCATATAGTCATTTGGGTGATGGTTTGGTGCATTTAGTATTGGTAAAACATACTTCATTTATTAATAACATAAGACTTTTGTTGAGATTATCGAGCAAAAATTCTAGCGTTGAAGATTTACCATTTGTGAAGACTCATTGTGCTAGGGAATTTTGTTTTCGGGCTCTAGAAGGTGCTAGTAAATGGAATAGTGATGGGGAGATACAGCCACAAACGAATATACGCGCAAAGTAAGGCATGAGAATAGAAATTATATTATTTGAAAATAAATTTATTCTTTTTAGGGTGCGTTGTCAGTTGCTCACAATTTTCAGTCGAGGAAGTCCCAAGGAATCTGAAATAGACAAAGTAAAGTGCTGTGCTTTTTAGCCATTTTTGCCTTATTAAAAGTATTACACTCAGTATTGATGAAAAAACAAAAAAAAAGTATTTAGAAAATTGCTCATTCTTAAATTAAATGAGGTGATAAGGTAAAAAAATTGTCATTCCATTTTTATATTTTGTTGACAAATCTATTTGTATATTTATAACGTTGCCTACTTTTAAGCATTTTGAGGCCGTCTATACTTACATGTTTGTTCTTTGTTATAGACTGAAACTCATTCCTGCATCTTGTAGATAAATAAATATATTATTTTTAAATTTTCTTTTGTCTTATTTAAGTATTTAACAGCAGCTATTTGCAAGTCAAGTTTAAAAAAGTTTAAAGTGTCGAGTCTAGGCTCTCGAATAAAATATTCTATATGTGATCTACCAAAACCAAGTGCAAAAAGGTGTAAATTGCGTGTAGCGCCTCAGCCTGAATCAAGTCCCAGAGTGTTCTAGCTGTAATAAAAGGGTGTGAGTGAGGTGACTGGATACAACGAAGAAATTCCAGGAGTACAAAAACAACGCGTGCCAATAGTGAGCGGTCGAGGTTAAGGAATAACTTTACACCTGCCCAGGCCCTCTTAATATTAAAAGTATTACTCTCAGTGTTGATTAAAAAACAAAAAAAAAGTATTTGGAAAATTGCTCATTCTTAAATTAAATGAGGTGATAAGAGAAAAAAATGTCAAAGTCATTCCATTTTTATATTTTGTTAACAATCTATTTGTATATTTATAACGTTGCCTACTTTTAAGCATTTTGAGGCCGTCTATACTTACATGTTTGTTCTTTGTTATAGACTGAAACTCATTTCGGCATCTTGTAGATAAATATATATACTTAATACTTTTAAATTTCCTTTTGTCTTATTTAAGTATTTAACCACAGCAATTTGCAAATCAAGTTTAAAAAAGTCGAGTCTAGGCTCTCGAATAACGCGTTCGTACACACGCTATTGCTGTTCAAATTCATAAAATAAAATATTCTATGCGTGATCTACCCAGTGGTAAAAGGGTGTAAGTGAGGTGACTGGATACAACGAAGAACTTCCAGGAGTAAAAAATTTAAGTAAACGTTGCTTAGGTACCTATATTATAAACATTGGTTTCATGTTTTTATAAGCCTATAACACAAAAACAGTGTTTATAAATACTTTTCTTTGTGTTTTCTTTTGCAATAACCAAATACCACATCTTTGAATAATTCCGGATATTTATTTTAACCGGCATACCTACCATTTCTCTTATAAAAGTCTTATTAAGTCTTAACTCTTCCAGAAGACTCCCAATATTGCTATTATTCTGACTTTTTCCAACTTAAAAAGTCTTATTCAGAGTTTTTAATACCTAGATGGTAGGACTTTCAAAACACTTATTTTTACTTATTAAAACTTAAAAAAAAAATCGACAAGGGCGCCATAAGGCTATTATGCCTGGCTATAGCCTTGATCAGTGTAATTATTATCACCGTACTGCAATCTATTATAATATTAATTATATTTTGTGAAATAGTCGATATCTTCTCTCTAAATAAATGTTTAAACTATAAAACGGATCTTATAAAAAATTCAAATTTTGAATTCGGACGTATTCACCGATTTAAATATTACCAATTATAATTAATATATTAAACAGCGTCGTGCAAGAAAACAGTTTGGTTAAGATACGATAAATAAAAAATCACTCGGTATAATAAATATTGTACTTTCTTTGCATACCAAATTTGGCTAATTTATCTTTTTTATTCGAGAATATTAAAGAAAAAATTATGCAACCCAAATAACAACTACACATAACCTCAAATTTTTGTTTTGAACCGGTTTGTCTCTGGTCTCAACATTTGAATTCGAAAAAACTATTATGGAAAGTCCTCAAGGGGAAATAAATACAAAAATGGAGGATGGCAATGGTAAATATTCAAAATTAATAAATCTTCATTACAATATAACCAAATTCATTCCAGAAATGTTCAATAAAATAAAAACTACAGAGCAGGAACTCTCAAAATTAAAGGACGAAAGATATGTGTTAAACGTAAAAATAAAATCGCTTGAAACGCATTTAGAGGAACTTAGAACTGAATACAACATAATGAAGCTAAAAAATATGCCTGACCAAAGTTATTGGTCGACAGAAAAGTTTGAGTGGACTGACAAGTTAACTGCCGTCTTAAAGGAAAAGTTCAGATTTGATTCTTTCAGGCCCAAACAATTAGCTGCCATTAACGCAACCATGTCCAATAAAGACTGTATTTTGGTTATTCCCACAGGTGGGGGGAAAAGTTTAACATACATGCTGCCAGCAGCTATATCAAAAAAGTTAACTCTAGTTATTTCACCTCTAATATCATTAATCAGCGACCAAATGATTGCTTTGGAAAAGTTTGGCATTAAATCGGCCTGTTTAAATGGAACTAGCTCTAAAGTGGAAAAAAGAGTTGTTCATGATGATATGTGTAATCCCGAATCAACATTACGTGTTTTATTTGTAACACCAGAGTGGATTGCAAAGAGCAAAATTTTTTTTAATCATATAACTAAATGCTATGCCAAGAATTTGTTGGAGCGTATTGTTATTGGTAAGTAAATGTTAATGGTTTTCTAAATATCAGTTTAGTTTATATAAATCAATGTATGTATATTGGATATTAAGATATTTGTTTACAATTAAAATTTAGTATTTTAGTTTAAAATAAAATTACATAGTTCATTAATTTATCTTAAAAGAAGGTGTATGTATCTTTATCAAATAAATCATTTATTATATTTAATCATATCAACATCTGGAATATTTCATGAAGTAAACATTATTCCAATTTTATTAACAAAAAAGGCAAATAACATTAAAATTTTTATCCTCAAGGCACAGTTTTATTTGTTAAACAATACATAAAACGTACTTAACAATTATTAAAAGAATAAAGTAAGGTTAGATAGCTTCAGAACTCATCAGTTATCGAATTTTTTGATTTTATAGACTAGGATGTAAAAAACTTCACCTGATTGGTCTAAATTATTTTTTCTACTCCCACCTTTAAAACGCCCTTTATCGTACATGTTTCCATGACACTAAGTGACCTTTTAAATACACATTGACAAGTTGTGGCTTTATGGCGCTTTAGTCACGGGCTGAAGTTAACAACAGGTTTTTAGTCACGGACTAAAGTTAGTTTTAAGTTAGTTGACAGTTGTCAAATATACAATCGTTAAAATAAAGTGCCTTTGTTGTAAAATAATACTAAATGTGAAAATTATTTTATTATCTCAATACAAAAATACAAAAGTATTAAATAGTTTCTCAACGCCAATATTTGAAAAGTTTATATGAACATTGTACTGACCTTTTAATTTCGCCGGCAGTAAACTATACCTAACTAAAATTCGGGCACGGACTCCACTGTAAAGTCCTCATAAAACATTTTCCTTACTTTCACTGTGAAACACTGTTAATTTTCAAGAAATACTTTTAGATTTATAACCTTTATAAATGTGACATTTGACGGTGACACACAGATTCCCCTATTATTTCATAGATGGCGTTCTATACAAATACTTAATTAAAATCACAATCCACACATTGTGTGGATTGTGATTAAAATCATTTTTAGATAATAATAGGTATTTGTTGTGCAACTCGTTTATAAAGTTTTCTAAACACTCATTAATTTAAGTACTCGCTCGCAAGCTCGCTCGATACATAATATACTATTAATCTCAATTATACCTTTTGCGCGCACATTCTACGCAGGCGCAATTAAGCTTTTGCTTTCAGATATCACACTCTCATATGCCGAGGCACTTGAATGCGTTAGGAACTCACGACGTGAGGTAAAATTCAAGATAGAAAACATGAGCTCATTTGAAGTCAGGTTTGCTGTGCGGGATAAATTTTAGTGTGAAACAAATTTTAAAATGACATAGATATATTTAAGAAGGTAAAAGAAGTGTTCTTGTTTTCTTTCAGACGAGGTTCATTGTTGTTCAACTTGGGGACATGATTTCCGTCCCGACTACAGCCAACTAAATTTTTTTAAGACATCATTTGAAAACGTTCCACTGTTGGGGCTGACTGCTACTGCTACAATGCAAGTTTTAAACGACGTACAAAAAATGCTCGACATTCCCGATGCTGTGATTATCACTGCACCTTTCAACCGACCAAACTTATTTTATAAGGTATTTCTTTAGTATTGGACTGCAGCGGGTAATATGTTTTTCTTTAGGTTGTGGATAAGCCTGAAAGCAAAGGAGAATGTTTATCCTACATATTTAAGCTGATTAATGAAAGTTACAAGGACAAAAGTGGCATTATCTATGTGCAAACAATAAAAGATTGCGATGAGCTGACTGTATCTCTAAAAGATAAGGGCGTTAAAGTTGGACCGTATCACGCCAATCTTGAGCCAGACAACAAAAAAAGGGTACATGAAAGGTGGCTAAATGGCAGATATCAGGTTGTGGTTGCAACCATTGCTTTTGGAATGGGAATAGATAAACCGGATGTGCGTTTTGTAATTCACCACTCTGTACCAAAAAGTATGGAAGGTCTTTATCAGGAATCTGGCCGGGCTGGTAGAGACGGACAGAGATCTGATTGCATAATTTTATTCTCCTTGGGCGATGTTCTTAAAAATTTCGGAATGTCGTCTTCAGTGGTTGCCGATAGAAACGCAATGGCAGTAATGAGGTACTGCCTAAATGTCTCAAAGTAAGTAAAAATATTAGTTCAATTAGTCAATTCGCGTGTGTAAACTTGTCTTAGTTGCAGGCGTCAGATAATTTCAAAGTTTTTTGATGACACCTGGATGAACTCGATGTGTGATAAAATGTGCGACGTCTGTGATAACAGTAAAACAGTTTACCAGTATGACATTAAGAAAGCATATGACGCATTGGCTAGCATCATTGCCAAAGCTGAAGACAAATTAACTCTAATAAAACTTGTTAATGCCTGGTTTCAGAAAAGCCCAAAACAAAATAAACTTGCCATCACTAAAACCCAGGCAAACACAGTGGTAGCCCATTTGTTGGACCAGCAGTATTTTAAGGTTACAAAAGGGGCAACTTTGTATGGATATGTTGCTTATATCGAGTTGAAAGGAGAGGTTAGGGGCCAAAAAATGATAGCTTCATTTAATAGTAATTTAAAGGGATTTAAATTAGAGCAATCTGAAATTATATTGGATGATTCTGATGATGAGAATGTAGAACCCCCCAAGAAGAAGAAAAAAGACTGAATACAATTTTCCTGTACAAATGCAATATAAAGCCTGATTTATAGATTACCTTCCTTCCTCCCGTAAAAGATAAACAATACAAAAACCGTAGTGTTGTTCATAAATTCCCGTAATTTATAAACAGCACTACGGTTTTTGTATTGTTTATCTTTTACGGGAGGAAGGAAGGTAATCTATAAATCAATCTTAATGTATAAGTTATTTATTTCAATAAATTATTTTTGTAATACATCTTTATTGTACACAAAATAGGCCAGTCAAATGGTACAATGAGGTTTGCACCATGTATATTTATGTGGTCATCTTGCTTAATTTCCAACAAATTTTGTATAAAACTTTAAAAATTAAAAATTTAGAATTTTTTTTCAAAATTTTTAATTTTTGTAAAGTAATTTTTTTTAAATTAGTGTATTGGCGTTAAGTGACTTATTTATCAATGGTATTGGGGTTAAAAACGGTTTTTTTCCATTTTACAATGGAATTATGTGCAAAAATGATATATTGAATATTATTGTGCAATTTTTAATACGTCTAAAGAGGACGTCTAAAATCAGTAAAATAGTTAGAAAATTGAGGTATAGTTTGTACAAAATTTTAATAAATAATATTTACTCGTAGTAAACATTTTTGGAACCGTAACAGAACCTGAAGCTAAATTTGTCGGAACCGGACTGGAACCGTTAAGCCGAGTTCATATAGATGCGAATTTGCGAAATACGAATATTCGCATTTCGCAGCTCCTATTCATATAGATGCGAATGGTCGGAACCATTTTAGGGACATTGTTTTCTCACTAGGCGATATTTGCCATGGTATTTTAGGGACATTATTTTCTCTCCAGGTGATATTTGCCATACTTGGTTAACATTTTCTATAGGTAGGTACTTAAATAGTATAGTTACTTCTAAAAAAATATGCTACTATAAGGTAAAATAAGAAACTAATGTACCTCCAAAAACTCTTTGTCCATTATAAAGAACAAAAAACAACTTTAGCAAGAAACATTTCAAATAAAACTCAACAACGATGCAATACAAATGAAATAAACACAGAACATAAACAAAAATGGCGGGGGTACATATAACAAATACGTATAATAGGCATCTGCATTAATGCGCATGCGCATCAAGCCAAATTCGTGCGATTTTCGCAAAATATTGGATCAATCTCAAGATTCCCGCCCCCCAGATTTCAAATCTTGCGAATTCGCAGAATCTGTCGAAACGTCGAAACTTTTTTCCCGCCAAATCAAATGGACCAATGAAAACATTTTCGCAAATTCGCATGTCGCATCTATATGAACCAGGCTTTATTTTCTTAGAAAAAGAATACTTTAAACTACTGTTCCAGCTAAAGTCCAAAACTGTCAATTTGTGGTCCGATGTTAGTTAATTGTCCGTGACTGTACGAACAATCCACCATAGATTTGCACAGAACAAACCTATTAATTAAATATGAGTATCATTTTATAAATTTAACCAGAATTCTTTAGTAGTTTGAATAAAATAGTTTTGCAACTGTCTGATAGATGGCGGTAAGTTACAAGTTGAACACATACTGGTGAGGAACGCCTAAATGCAGGAATGGGCTCCATCTTAATATAATTTTTGCGTAAAATAAAACAAACCAAATCAAACCAAACCCAACCAACCCAACCCCCCGTAACCGCCCTATTGAAGCCTAACCACCCTATTGAAGACGATTATTCCTTCGTGCATTGCCCTTTATGTCGAACTTTGTTACCGATGGAATAATCGTCTTCAATAGGGTGGTTAGGCTTCAATAGGGCGGTTACGGGGGGTTGGGTTGGTTGGGTTTGGTTTGATTTGGTTTTATTTTACGCAAAATTTATATTAAGATGGAGCCCATTCCTGCATTTAGGCGTTCCTTACTGGTGTAGTATGTGAGGTTGCAAATTTAATCTACAAAGACAATGGAGTTATCTTGTATGTCTATTTTATGCGACGTTGTCAAATCGATCAAAATACGAAAATCGTTTAACTTGGGCTTTAGTGGGACTATTTTAATGATTATGTGGCTACCTTTTTAGGTTTATTTAGTTGACAATAGTTAAAAAACGAAATAAAAGTTGGTTTTGTGTATAGTTTTTTCTGATTAATTAGTTTTTGTGATTGTTTTTGTAACCTTATTGGATTTTAAAGTAAAAATTGGGTTGGGAATATTCTTTGAAATTATAAAAGGTAGGGGTTTAGGTTGGATGGAGGATAATTTTTGAAATTTATGTGGTGGTAGACGTGGCATCACTGCAAGCTGCAAAATGAAAAACCTGCGCATCCAACCATATTCCATAATTTAGTTAATATTTGGAACGCTGAGCAAGTGTTGTACTTGCTGCGTTTTCAACGTTCGGTATTTAAATTTAACGTGGTTTAAATGAAAACTGCTTAGAAACGGTAAAATAGAAAGTAGGGGTACGTAAATGTGCATAACAAACTAAAAACAAGCCCATTCATTGGAGTAGTGGACGGCAACATTGTAGTTTACCAAACAAATATTTAGTGGAGTTATTTAGTCGAGGTGCAAGGTGTTTAAAACGGTGTTTTTATACGAATTCAGTGTTAAATAAGTGTTTTGTTAAAAGTGTAGCATTAAGAACAACGACCTTCGTTTTGAAAATAACTAACTGGTGAGTAAACAAATGCCCATTGACATTTAGAGAAATTCTAAAACAAACTCGATGTTTTTTGCCATTCCGCGTTTATTTGTTATCGCTTGTTTTAAACCCGATTCATGTAAATTTATATGGCGTCAATGCAATGGCAATGGCATAGATATTGATTCCGAATTCCCGTCACAACATTAGAAATCCCCCCACCCCCTCTTTCGAGTAACTTATAGTACTATCAGGGCGTGGTAAAAAACACGTGCTAACATATTTATTTATTCCGAGTTTTTCAATGGAAACAAATTTCATATCACCAAATTAAACTGGAAATGCACACTGATTACGCAGGCCATGGTAACATTTTATTTAAGCAAATAATAGTATATTGTACGACTATTGGGAGGAAGACGAGATTCCTCGAGCCGTGGTAGCCTAGGTAATACGCGGATGGAATCTCTTCTTTTGACCAATAGTCGCGCACAATTTTTTATTCAACTACCGCAAGGAATTTAAAGCCAATTCTAATTGATATTTTATCTGACAACTGGCAGTTTTAACGTTATTAACGTCCTATTTTTGTTTTGAACGTAACCTAACCTAAAATATTATTGTCAACAGCGCTCAAACTGTGTTTAAGGTTAGGTTACTTTCTATAGATTATATAGTATAGAAAGAAATAAACCAATCAGAGCACGATATTTCCCACAGCACACTAGTTGCCCCATGGTTTCGTTTTTCTCTATCAATAGGTAAATAATTAAAACGACAAAAACCTTTACTATTGACAAAATTCATTGAATGCTACTTTATGAATGTTATCTGGTAAAAATAGAAATTTAACAAAAATAGATAAAAAAACATTTGTATACAAATATAAATATGTATTACATTGCAAGATAAACCCTTCTATGATTATAGTATTATCTATTATTTATGATTCAAAATGTCATTAATATTCAAGATCTTCAACATATTTGTTTATACATATAGGTGATTTCAGTAAAAAGTAAAACTTTAAAGTTTTAAAAATTATAATTTCACTTTAAAGCGTTTAATAATAATAATTTGATTTTAAATCGTAACTTGAAACATATTAAAATTTAAAAAATGTTTATTTAACTCAGAATTTTGTTTTTGATAAAAACTTTGTTTTAATCCGCAATAACTGATTACAAAAAAAAACAGTGCCATGTTTATTTTGTTTGTTGTGAAGCAAGCGTTTAGGTATAGGAATAAAAATTACAAACAAAATTATAGGAACCTAATAAAACAAATATACGTTTATAAAGCTGAACATAACTTTTGTAATAAAAAAAAATCTATGATTAAAGCTAGTTGGTCATTAAAAAGGTTAAAAAAATTCTAATAAATAGGTCGTACGAATTTATTCTTTATGATAGAAGTTTATTATTTTCTCATTCAATTTGATTGGTTCAAGGTTTAAAAAAATCAATTACTCAGGTTAGACAATTAAAAATGGGTTCAAAATTACTCCATATCTTTAATTAAAACTAAATTGGTGATAGTAGTGCGGACAATAATTAAGTTTAAATTATAGACCGCTTGATAATTGGTAAATGTACTTACTTTTATACCTACACTATATTTAAACATTGTGTTTTTCAATTTTCAATTGTTAAAAATAATCCAATATTCTAATATTAGTTTCACAATAATTGTATAATATTTAAGCCAGCAGAATGTATTAATAAGGGTTTTATAACATACGGGCTTGGTTAACTTTTTAAAAATATCTGATTTTTCTTAATATCAGGGAAACCCTTATTTTGATTTTCTTAATATTTTTTCTTTTCGCTCAAAACTCTCTTAAAAGCCTTAAATAAAACCGTAATAAAACTATCCAAGATAGTCTTAAAACTTCAAATTGGGTAAATGAAATGTGTGTAAATCGAACCTCATTGATCATGCATGTTTGCATTTACATAAGTAAATGTCGCTAAATAAAAACGTGTAAGTAGATCTCCCACGTTTAAATTTTTATTTCAATCACACTTATTTTTATCGCCGCACTACTACGGCACAAAAGTAATATAAACACGTCCTTCGCATAAAAATGAATCACATAATTTTTTTCACCGTTTGTTATTTTAACAAGAAAAAAATACGCAAGCGGAGGCGACTACAGTGATTTAAACTGCTATTGTAGTACTAAGGACAAAAGTATTAATTAATCTAAAATCGAAATATGTACGTTCAAAAAATCAACAGCAATTTTTGTTTAGATTAAAAAGCGGATTTTTTTATTTTACTTTTAATAAGATGAGGTCGATTTAATGTAATTTTAAATTCCTATTTAGCATAGCATAGCTAATAGCCCTAAGTGCAGTGCCTTATTTTTTTTAAATAATTAACATCAGGCTAAAATGTGCGTAATTTTATTAATTTAGTCCGTCTGTTAAATGAAAAAAAATGTAAAGCGATTAAAAATAATAAAAATTTTGAAGTTCAAATATCAACTTTATACGGATAAATGTTGAAAAACTCCAAATAAGTTATTTAATCCCATACATTACATTCTTTGTTTGATTTATTAGCTGGGTAATTAAATAAAATGTTTACGGCTACAGCATGTTTAAACTTTTAACGTAATTGTACATAGAAAAGATTATCTACTAACTTTACTGGAAATTTAATTTATTAAAAGCATTTTATTAAGTAACTTTAACTACATATAAAATGGTTACTGCCAAAGTAATAAAATATTTTTACGACGCGTATTAACTTTTCCCGAAGACCACTTGTCTGTTTTACTTAATTTAATTACAGTAAAAACACCTTTAGTAATTTTTTAATATTTATTTATGTATCAAGTTTGATAAACGAGGTGCATACTATACTTTTTTTACGACAAATACTTATTATTATCTTAAAATGATTTAAACAAAAAATTTCTATAGAGCGCCATCTATGAAATAATAGGGGAATCTATGTGTCACCGTCAAATGTCAAATTTTTAAATTTTATAAAAACAGATTACTATAAAGGTTATAAATCGAAATGTATTGAAAATTGACAGTTTTTCACAGTGAAAGTAAAGAAAATGTTTTATGAGTACTTTACAGTGGAGTCCGTGCCCGAATTTAAGTTATAGTTTACTGCCGGCGAAATTAAAAGGTCAGTACAATGTTCATATAAACTTTTCAAATATTGGGGTTGAGAAACTATTTAATACTTTTGTATTTTTGTATTGAGATAATAAAATAATTTTCACATTTAGTATTATTTTACAAGAAAGGCACTTTATTTTAACGATTGTATGACATTTGACAACTGTCAACTAACTTCAAACTAACCTGTTGCTAACTTCAGCCCGTGACTAAAGCGCCATAAAGCCACAACTTGTCAATGTGTATTTAAAAGGTCACTTATTGTCATGGAAACATGTACGATAAAGGGCGTTTTAAAGGTGGGATTAGAAAAAATAAATTATTTAATTTCAAATCATTTTTAAAACTGACCCGATTAAACTAAACATTATCTTTAATCTTCTTTGAAGTCAGAACTTGGAATAAGCAGTTAATCGTACACAGATTTTCAAACAAGCGAAATTGTCGCTACTGATCCCCAACGAACTTTCAAATGTTACATGAATATCCCTTGCACACCCCTAAAGGAACAGTTCAACAAGATAAGGCGATCTTACGGCTTACACTTTACAACTTAAAATTTATTATTACAAAAAAAAACATTTTTGTGCATCTTTTAACAAATTGTATTTTCTATTCCATGCGTTCATTCTGACGGACCCTGTATTTGTAAAATCGTCCTTAAAAACGGTACAAGTGCATTAAATGACAATTGAAGATAATTTTAAAATGAAGGTCGCATTACGCATAAGATTTATATCGCTAAAAATATATATATAATGTGGTGGGAACACATGAAAAAACATTTAATTTTATTGTTTTATTGTAAACTGGTCAACATATATATGGGCAATAAAAAAACATTTACCTACAAAGTAGTCTGGGCATATTTTTATTTTTAGACAAAAAGTATAGCTATGTTTGTGTAAATAATATTTTTGACATATTGCTATTTGAAATTGAGTCCTGTAAAATCAATACCAGACATGTCCTCTGCCGAGACAAAAATCTAATGTACCAACTACAATAAGAAATACAGTATTTATCACTTTTTTTCTTGCCACAGTAGAGGACATATCCGCTTTTCCACAGTCCCAATTGATATATATATATATATAGTTATTTCAAATTATACTTGAAAATGGACAACATTGCTATTCCCCAACAACAAAACAAAACACAAAGTGCTTAAAGTACTTTTCGCCATTATTGGGGATTATAACAATGCTTTTTGATCATAGATTAATAACTAAGTAGGTACATTGAAACAATAAACTAGCCAACATTAAAACGATCAAATGAATTAACTATTGACGATCATTAAACGATGTTCTATACCTTTAAAACAATAAATTTTTCGTCATTGATCCATGAACAGCAAATATAAATAATAATAAACCGTCTTCATTGTTCTAACGGTCACTAAACATTGATTTTACAAACTTAACTATTCAATTCTAAAAACGCGCCAAAATTAATGCTGCCGTACGATTAATCAATCAACCTAATAGTATGTTATGTATCAAGTTTGACAAACGCCATTTTATAGAAAAGTTTATAAACGAGGTGCATACTATACTTTTTCTACGACAAATACTTATTATTATCTTAAAATGATTTAATTCAAAAATTTGTATAGAGCGCCATCTATGAAACAATAGGGGAATCTGTGTCACCGTCAAATGTCAAATTTAGTTATCTTATAAACACAGATTATAAAGGTTATAAATCGAAATGTATTTCTTGAAAATTGACAGTTTTTCACAGTGAAAGTAAAGAAAATGTTTTATGAGCACTTTACAGTGGAGTCCGTGCCCGAATTTAAGTTATAGTTTACTGCCGGCGAAATTAAAAGGTCAGTACAATGTTCATATACACTGAGAGAAATCATACTATTATAATAAACAAATCATA